AAAAAAAAAAAAAAAAAAAGCACTGCGCAGTGATGTGTTGATCAGACAAGGAAAGCCAGTAACTCATTACTCATCCTTGCTCTGCCGATCTTTTCCTCCCCTCCTATTTGGACTCGGCAGGTCCAACTTCATACTTAATTCCATTTGAAGAGACGCATGCATCTCTAGCCACGAATTCTCCTCATATTCCTCCTAGACCCCGTTGGTGTGAGGGCTTTGTGGCTCAGGGTTAGATGGCTGGGTAGCTTCTGAATCTTGTCCATTGTTTTGTTCGTTAATTAGCTTCTCCATGAAGGAAATGTAGTCGTATTGCGGCATTCCCCGATCTTCTGACATGTCTGGTCCGCTGTGTGCTGGCATAATCTCAACAAGCTGGTCAATGACTTCGTCTGGCACCAAGCTATGTCGTAGATCCATCTCTGTCACATATGGCTTTCCATCTGCCACCTCACGGAACGATTGGTAAACTTGCTCGGCGGTGTTCTGATCTTCTGTGACGTCGACCATGAATCGAATGAACTGCTCAAAAGTCACATAGTCACGTCCACCGGATGTCGCATGGAAGTAGTCGTGCATCTCGTCTTCTGAGAAGACAAGTCCAAGAGATGCAAGTGCTGCACTGAATTCGAGCTCCTGAAGAGAGTTGGTATCGTCACGGTCGAAGTGACGGAAAACACTCTCAAACTCTTCCAGCTGGATGGGTGTCAAGTTTGTCATGCTTCGTGCTACCATCTGGTTTTCCAAGAAGGCAAGCTTCTTCTGAACTGATGTCTTGACAAGGCCCAGTTCGTATGACAGCTCGTCGTATGTATAAGTAGTGAAGTCGTTCTCCTCAATGTTGGCTTCTTGACACTTCTGGTCCAGCTCTGAAATCTTGTCCAAGTACTGGTCCAAAGGAGCAAGACTCTCACTAAGCTTCCTGACATGGTGTAATTGGTCTTCCACGTCGCCGTCGAGGCCAGATATAGCCAACTGCATCGTGTTTAGAGCCATCGCAAAGTCGTTTGCCTTGTCAGCAAAAGATTTACGGAGAGCGTTTTTGATGCTGAGATACCGTTAGTCAGAATGATATATGTTTGGAATGGATGAACTTACTCTCGAATGGTTTCGTTGATAAGCTGGGCACGTCTCATCTCATTTGATGCCAACTCTGCCCACCTCTGCTCAAGAGCATCCAAACTCAGCTCTGCAGGTGGATCGTATGGTCTAAGACGATAAGTGCCCAATTTTGTCTTGATATTTCCAAGCAGCGTTGCCAGATCACTCTTCTCCGCGACCCATTCTCGCTTCTTGCCCTTCTTGTAATTGAAGAACTGGATCGATTGAGCTTTGGCATCGGCGTAGGTTCCTTCGAATGTGGCCTCCTTCCAAATCTCAATCTGCTCTTGGATGGCCTTCAAAAGTGCCCGCATCCGTCTCTCGTAGGCACTTTGCATCTCCCAAGCACCTTGCATGTTGTTAACGAATTTTTCGACGCGACGTCCAGCATTCTCAACCTTCTCCATTTGCGAGAATGCGTGGAACCAGTAAGCAATGTAAGTCATCAGAGATCGCTCATCAGGCTTGGCGACATCACACACATCTTCCACATCCAGCAGCTTAGGAATACCAATCTCCTTATGTGCGATATCGAAAGCTAGTTGCATGTTTCCTCGGTGATCTGACTTGTCCAAAGCATCGTAGTCGATGAGATCTGGTCGGTGAATATCCAATAGAGCACAAAATGCTAGACCGTCGTTCCAGCTGCCGCTAAAGTCTCGCACCTCGACTTCGTCGTAGCATGCTGTCTTTCGTTGACACCAGAGCAGCAGACCCTCCTTTGCTGACATACCCTCCTCGTTGATGTCGCTAATGGTGAATCGAAGAATCAGGGTCCAGATGAGACCCAGGACGATCTTTTGGTTGCCATCAACAACATCCTCTGCACCAATGTTGGTCATTTGAATGCCCCTGGACTTGACAAAGTCAAGTGCAAGGTTCGCATTCTCGAATTTTTGTACTCGAAGCTTGGGTTTTGAGGCATAGCGACCGAGCGATTCGTGTGAAAGACATTCGAGGAGGTGAATCAACATGACCTATGCAGTTGTTAGTTAAACAAGCCGAACTCTTGTTCCTGGTCAACTTACACCATCACTGAGATCCTTAACAAGGTCCTTAACCTCGAGGTTGCGAACCTCAATCTTTGTGTTGAGCCTAGCAAAGACGAATTAGAACATTACACTCGACAAGAAAAGTGTTGAACATACCATTTTGTAAAGGTTTTCTGCTGGACCGTAACCCATCTTTGCTGTTCTGCAAAAGCCATCCTCGTCAACTTTTGATCATGCGACTCAACAGCAGCAAGAGCGTCTGCAGGAGTGGGATTGCTCCTAAACTTTCTCGGAGTTGTCGATTGCTCCTTTTTGTGCGGCCCTACGGCAGAGGATGCGTTCGAAACTGTGCTTCCAGAACGTTGCGCTCGCGCAGCATGCAGTTGTGACTTGTCCCGCCTCGTGCGCGGGGTCGGTGAGCACGGTGGGGAGGAGGAGAGTGAAGTGAAGGAAGCACCTGTAAGGGATCGATTACGGGTGATGAAATCAGATACCGGCGAGGAATATGGGTTGCTGCAGATCGAGGAACGAGGAGAATGTTGGGAGGAGTCGAAAGCAAGGGAGATTGGAGTCGAGAACGAGTCGAATGAAGCGGACGAAACCCTTGAGGATGTACAAGATGAAGCCGAGGTCGAGGCGGTGGAGATACACGATAAGCGAGATGATTCCGATATTGAAGCTGATGGGGAATGAGGGCGCGGATAATGAAAATGGGGATGATTCTTAGAGTTGGTGTTGTTGTGGTTTAGGCCCTCTTGGTAGCGGTGATATTCTTTGTTCTCTTGGTCCTTATCCTTATCCTGGGAGTCGTCGCTGCATTGGGCCTCCGAGTGTAAACAAAAATCGGGGAACTTCTCGTTACCATCCACGTTGCCGGGTTGCAGTGGAAGCATCCCCTGAAGGGCCTGGACGGAATTCCCAGTAGCGTCCATTTTTAGCTCTGAGAGACAGGTTCTAGCGGTTGCTGTGAGCCCCTGCTGGGGTAGTTTAGTGAACTGGGCTAGTTACTAAGATTCTAGTCGGCTGTTGATGGACAGGGCTTCTGTCAGTCGGTTGGAGGCCTTCGAATATTGGTAATTTATGGGTGGATGTTATTTGAAAGTTTAAGTATTCATATCAATTCTCTGTTCAAGGCATCAAGATGGAGAGGGAGGCCTCGGTTGGGTTTATACCTGATCGTTGGGTTCCCATCTCTCTCATCCCCTAACGCCTCGTAACCTCCTCGTAACCTCCTCGCATAAGACACATACCACTGCATTACCCTCGAGACAATGAGAAAGCATGATGTAGAGAGGGTTTAGTCCTGATTGAGTAAATAGGAAAAGGTTATCTTGGTTGTTTCTCATAAAAACTGTTAATATTCCCCAGACTTGATCAATTGTTTCCATGAAGCAAGTTTCATAGGTAGACTCAATGCACATGTCAACTGAACCACACGGGACGGGAGTTTATTTCCAGGGGGACCCTGCGACCGGCTGCAAATCCCGACGCATGGCGTTCGTTGTTCAACTGTCTTTGGTGCCACTTGGAGGGGTAATTTAGGAACAGTACAGCAAACTACCGGTAGCGTTCCAATTGAAGAACGATCCATCCAACTTAACCTAAACTTCAAAGCGTGGAAGCCATCCGTTGGTTGTAAACGTTCAACGGCTCGTGAAACATTGTTAAACCCTTTCTCATGCGAATTTAAGTTAATCCTACAGATAAGACCACAATTATTACATACACCAAAGTCATTTTGATCTGACAGCGGTTACGATTTGTTTAGCCAACATCCAATATATACTCCAAAGCTCAACATCTTCTGTCACTGGACAGTCATCACAGTCATCACCAATAATACTTAATGAACCGAGATAAATTCAATTGTAAGCCGAATTGAGCACTTAGTTAAGCTGTAAAATGGTGGAAGGGACAGATACTGAAATACTGGCTACTATTTAGAGATCAATTAGTTGCCGACAAGAACTGTCTCAAACATACTACTTGCATGAACACCACCATCATGCCTGTCCACCAAGTGTAAAAGATAAAGGATTGACAACTGTCAATCCATGGAAATCAAAGAGTGTAGAATCGAATCTTGTCATTGGTGGCATCGGAGACTCTGCTATTATTAGAATACCCTGTGCTTTGTTCAGGTCGACATATCGAGATTAACACAGGCAAACTCTGGAAAGGATAGGAAGCAGTAACCGTTAGTCTGATGTGATGTTACACATTAATCAGATCTTGCTCAAGTTCGTCCTCATTAATCGGACGTTTAGTTTCAAACGAGGACCCAGAGTCATAGACAATGGGACGATCAAAACCAGCGTGATTCATTTGTTCCTATAGCAGGATGATGACACTGAAACGACCTATGATCGCAAAAGTATCATGGTTTCCGTGTATGAGAGATGAGAGACAGAAGTTTTGGTAAAGTGATTGATACACTCAGTACTGGCTCTTATACACAATTTATCATACAACCATTCCCTATGTCTGAACTCGTCTAGGGCTTCTTCTTCTGTCCGAGAATCTTGGCATGTTGCTTTCCAGCAGGCTTTCCAGTCTGGCTGGCTCGTGACCGTAGAGTATATCTCTCCTTCTTCCAGGCAAACACCATTTGGTCCACGCTACCCATGTCGTGCTTGGGCTTGCGCATGTATGTGAGACGAGCACGTCGTGCCCTCTTGGGTCGTCGCCAGATAATATCGATACCCGTCACCGTTGGGCTATAGATCTTGAACCACATCTCCACGCCCACCTTCATCATCTGTCCTCGCAGTTGGATGGCCGTATCCTGGCCCCGGCGTCGGATCTGAAGAAAGGCTCCAGCAAAGGGCTCGCCGCTTTTCGTCGTCACCATCAAAACATCTCCGACCTTGGCGCTGTCGGCGTGTTCCCTCGAGAAGAGTCGTGTACGTGCGCCGGTTGGATCGAGTTTGGCGATTTGCTTTTCCAAGAGAGCGGGCATGGGATCGGGATGTGTGCTGCGAATGCTCGGAACTCGAGGGTAGATCTGGAATTTGCTGATCTTGGCAAGATCCGCCCCTGGATTGAATGTCAGCGAACAACTCGTGATACTGATGACTTGGAAAAAGACGTACGCTGCTCAGCGCTGAAGGCATTTGACATTCGTTTGGACAGAGGGTCAACAGCGCCTACTGAAGAGGCGTTTCTCTGGAAATTTCTCTGGAACCTTGACCGTCGGAAGGCAGTCTTGAGACAGCCGACTGACCGTCCCAGGCTTGCGACGTTCATTGTGATTTGACTCGCCGTGAAATATACGACAACTGAGGTTGAGGCTAGAATTTCTGGAGCTACGATGCAATGTTCATGGCCCAAAGTTGCCAATTCTCAGTTCTGATTGGCCCGGTCCCGCAGTTTGTCCGCCCGGGTTATTTTCACCACCAATGTTGTATGGTTAAGGCTGTTATCGAATATTCAAAAAAGTCACTGTCTTTTCTACACGGACCTCATTGTTGTCTGTTGCAGCCAGGAAAATGCTCAACAGATCAATGATGTCGGCCTTTAGGCCATTGGCGAGCATGCGAGTGTCTATGGGAAACACTGCACTCCATTCCCGACACTTCAGTGCAACTCCTACCCGCTGTAGGTCAAATCGAACACCGGCGACATCGATAATGAGATCAATTCGTTGACACTTTGCTAGGCTTGAGTGCCGTCTTCGCCGAGACTGAGAACTCCGAGTTGAACAACGTTCTGATCGATGTTCAAGAGAAGATCATTCTTCCAGCATACCTGCCCGAGGCGCAGAGGAAGCTTGTCTTTAACTCAGCCAAGAGCGACTACATTAAGCGCAACCCTGTCGTTATCGAGCTCGACGGCCTCGAGCATACATTTACGTACATCAACCGAACAAAAGACATTCCGAACTCAAAGAAGGCACTGGTACAAGCGACCAAACTAATGAAAACCAAGGAGGAGTGGGACAACATCGCTACCTTCCTTGCTGGCTATAGGAAGGCTGGAATCAAACTAGCACGAGAGCACTATGAAGGCGTCATCCGAAGGGCATGCGATTCCCAACAGGAATACTCTATTATTGAATGCGCCAAGCAAGCTATAAAGACTGGACTTACTCTGAAATACGAGTCCTATATCATCCTTTTGATGTCATCCATCAACGGAAAGGTCGGCAATACAGCGGAAGAGACATTGCAAGCTCTGAAATGGAACCGACTGGTTTCGGATTTGATACAAAGGCCAGAACATCAACTGCGAAGTCGCCGGCCTCGTGATCTGCCTTACTTCAACCCTGCCATCCGAGGGGCCCTTCTCTTCGCCCAAGCACATGGAATCCAAACACAACAGGCAGCTGGCGAGTCTGCTGAAGCGTTGATCAAAGAACTTCGGGACAACGTAGAGTTCATTTCCAGCGCGTGGGCTCGTCAGGAGCTCGATGACTTGACCAAGTCATCCTACCTTAGGATCTTCCACCCGCACGACGGACAAAAGTCCGCTGAGGTTCCCATTGCCCCTTACTACTACATCAGGGTACTCGCTCAGAACATCAGAGCCATGGAACTTGCACAAGAAATCATTGGCGACAGCGCAAAGGACTTAACACCTGTCCATGACGCAATGGAACAACACCTCGAAGACTTCATCAAGGCGGGTTCTCTAAATAAGAAAGGCTATGGTGACGTATATGAAAGTGCTACAGGCCGAAAGCCTGCTTGGGAGAAATACCTGACCGCGTAGATGCGACAGTCTAAGCGTTGTTCTTGGTAGAAGTAATCAAAGGCGGTTATATCCCAACATGACTAGAAGATCGATGGAAGTTTTTATGTAATATATATGTATCATCTAGATTCATTCATGAACCAATTCTATGGTAGAACGATGTACTTCTCCAGGTGCTTGGGAATAGCTCCCAAAAGCTTCTTGTCAGTCAACCACTTGCGCGAGAACAGTCGCTCGGCATATCTGTAAGCACCATCGCAGAGGACGGTCACAACAGTGTGACCCTTGCCCAGTTTCTCAGCAACCTCCTTGGCAGCAACAACGTTAAGGGAAGAGCTGGCACCGAGATAAAGACCCTCTTCGTCTAAGCAACGGTAGACCATCTCAATACTCTTCTCATCTGAAATATGCAGAGAACCATCCACCAGATCAATATCAGGCTGGAGGTTATCAGTAATACGACCCTGTCCAATACCCTCGGTGATACTGGAGCCGGTGCGCTCGTTAAGCTTGCCGCCGGAGGATACGTAAGAATGCAGGACACTGCCTGGAGGGTCGGCGAGGAAGCTCTTAACCCGGCCGTTGGAAACGTCCTTCAGATACCTCGTAATACCGGCCAAAGTACCAGCAGTACCAGTGGCGCATGTGAAAGCGTCGACCTTTCCATCCGTCTGCGCCCAAATCTCAGGGCCTGTTGTCTCGATGTGCGCACGACGGTTAGCTGTGTTATCGAACTGGTTCGTCCAGACAGCATTGTCTAATCGTTCGGCGTGACGGCGGGCCTGGTGGTTGTAGTTTTCGGGGTTGTCGAAAGCGACAGCGGGAACAGGGTAGACCTCAGCTCCAAGGAGTCGTAGAAGATCGATCTTTCCCTGGGACTGGGTGTTGGGCATGTAGATAACAAGCTTATAGCCGCGGGATCGGCAGACGTGGGCTAGGCCAATGCCGGTGTTTCCAGCAGTGCCCTCGACAACGGTACCACCGGGCTTAAGGAGTCCACGCTCCTCGGCGTCCTTGACGACATAGAGAGCAGCGCGGTCCTTGACGGAACCACCAGGGTTCATGAATTCGGCCTTGCCCAAGACCTCGCAGCCGGTCTCGTCGGAGAGGCGATTGAGACGGATGAGAGGAGTGTTTCCGATGGCTATAGCAGTTTTAGCATGTCAGGTGAGTTTTAGCAAAGCACAAGTAATGCGCACCTCCAGTCAAACCTCGGGAGACACCTTGAGCTCGAGAGACGTTGAGCGTATGGGAAGTGGGAGCTGCAGCAGCTTTGGCCGTAGTGGCGGCAAGCCTTCTGGCAGTGGGACGAAACATGTTTCTGGTGTGAAGCGTCGCGGGCTTCAGAAAAAAGCCAATTTACAAAGCTACAGACGCTCAAGGTTCCCAACTAGAGGAATTGGTGGTTGTAGGTAGAGGTTCAGCTTGGTAATGGGAAATGGACCTCGATGGTGGGGCCGCGATCGGCAATGGCGCAATCCGGGCTGTCGGCGTTGTGACGGCATTCCCGCGCCGACTTCCATATGGCATGATTAGATCTCGATAGTAATTATATGGTGATAATTAGGTAGGTATCCAAGTTAGATATTGTCATGTCATTAAATCTTCAAGCGTATTCCATCTGTTTGGTATCCAATACAGCGCTCAGCCGTCATATGTTCAAGGAGTATTCTGTTCTAACCGCACATACGGTGCTGGGAATAACCCCCGAGAACCCATATATGCCCCAAAGAACCATTCTCCGTTGACGTCTTCAATCTCTTTAATTTCTGCTCCTCGTGGAAAAAGAAGCTCGTCGTCGGCCCCTTCTTTGGGGTACCATCCAAACCTCGCCGTCGCTTTCATTCCAACTCCGCCGTCAGGAGGGAAGTTCTGAGTAAATCCGCTCTCACTTGGTGCTGTTTCCGGTACATCTCTTGTAACAAGCCGGGCGAACTCCTGGTCATTGTCGTGCCAAACCCATTTCAGGAGTCCTTGCTCGCGGTGTTCTGGCTTTTCTGGCGCTTCTGACTTAAGTCCCCGACCACCCACAAGGTCTTGGGCGACATATCTCCATAATCCAATCTTCCCATCTGTAAACGCAACAACTACCATTCTGTGACCATTCAAACACCGCCTCCACCCAGAGTGGCCGTTCTCAGGGCTTATTTGTCGCTGTGTTACCAGATTGCCATAGCAGGAGGAGCATATGTCGTAATCGCCCGATGCAGCGTCTGAGACTAGGGCACTTGTGCAGTGATAGCAATGATATCGTGCCTGGTTCGGCTGAATAGGCTCCTGGCAAACGTCGCATCGTGTGGTGAATGTCAGGGGCTTGAAAGGTCCAATATTGGATGCATTGGGACCTTTGAATATCGTGGCGGCCGTTGGCCGACCTGGTGACCTAGGAGGACTACCAGACCTGCTTTGGGCTGGCTGGCTAGCTTCATGAGCCAGAGGTAGTAGAGTATGTGTGCACGATCTTCCCTGGTTCACACAGTCGTTACAAAAGCCCCAGTCACCTTCATTGCATATGTTGCATCGCCAGTAACATTCGTTTGTCCAAGCCGAGCAATTGGCGCAGAAGGTGCCACTTTCTAATCGGTGCCTGGGATCGTCGGTTGTGAGTGTTTTTCGTCCATCAGCTCCCCCAGGAGCTGAGCGAGGAGGGCGGTAGCGACTCGCGGTTAACATATGCGGCTTTGCTAGGGAGGGATCCCCCTGCTGTTGCCGCGTCTTCTCCCACTTTGACCAGGCACCGTAGCCAAATCCGAACCAATAGAGGCAACCCTTTCCAGCTCGATAACAATCGAGACACATATTCCATTGTCCATTAGCACAAATCGAGCAGTTGTAATGAAGCTCGTATTCAATGTGTGCCCTGTTGCATCGAGAGCAACTGACAGAAGGCTCTGGGTAGAGTTGCGATCTTGTCCTCTGGTGTCCTGAAACTGTTGGGCTACTGATCGGGCTGGTTACTGTCTGATGAACAATTGCCAGATCGACGGGGCGAGGCCTGTTCGAGCGAGTGGCGGCTGGATCATGATGAGAGAACAATGGAGCAACTGATGCAGTCGCCGCGTTTCCTTGCCGATTCGCGAAGGAGAGATTGCCAGTGTTGCTGCTCGATGATGCAGCTTCTGTGGGGTTTGGAAACGGTGGGGTGTGGATAGGGGTACTCGTGCTGCGTCCCTCTCCAAAGGTAGGTCGGGACTGAGTAGGATCAGTAGTTTGGGATCTTGACCCGAGATCAGTGGATGACCGAGCAGCGGGCCTATGGTCAGTTGTATTGGTAGTCGGGAACACCGGGGTTGTCGAGCTACGGCCCCCGCTTGCAGTCCTTCGTCTGGGTCTTCGGACTGGTTCCTGAACCTCGAGACTTGCTGGTGCTGCATTTGTTGACGGGCGACTTCGTTCCTCGGTCTGGCTGGCAGCGCTGGTGCCACTTGCGGCACTCGCAGACCTCGAATGTGGCCGGGATCTTTCTCTCGTCCGGCCTCCTTCCGGTGCCAACATGCGAGTATCTGTCACTGAGTTTTCGGCAGGCCGTGTTAACGGAGGATAGTTGTTCGAGTTGTTTCTCCGTGCTTCTTGGCGTGTTCGATCTCTCTGTCGCCGCCTATATGCTTCAGTAATCCTCCTACTAAGCTCATCATCGCGACTCAAATCGATATTATCCAAGTCGAGTCCGTCGAGGAGCCCTTCTTCCTGAATCTGTCTTGCAAACGACTCTATCTCTCGCTCAATATCCCTCTCACTCATATCGCCAGAACTGATTAGCGATCGGATTGATGACTGGTGCTCGATCTGACGCTGCCTTGACTCGCTCCGCCGTCGTCGACGCTCCCCTTCCACTTGCAGTTGATCAGAGCTATGTCGGCCTCCATCATCCATCCGAGGACGCCGGTTCCCTCGTTGGTGGCGGCCATCCAAGCTCCGGTCTCGTTCCCGTTCCCTGTCCCTGCTTGATCTTCTTCTATCGTCTGCAGAACGACTTTCTCGTCGTCTCCGTGTCCTCGGCGGCCCTGAAGAAACTCCAGCCTCTTGTAAGCTCAACTCTCTGGCCTCTTCTACTAATCTCCTTTCCTCAGCGTCGGCACGTCGCTCCTCAGCCGTCCGGCGTGTATTAATTGTTGGTAGGACTTGATCGCCCGGCTTGTACTTCTTCGCCATTTCCTCCTTTTCTGTCGCCGAGCGGTCCTTGCCAGGGTTTGCGGCGATGAACATATCCAAAAGAGTGACAACGGTAGCATTATGTTGAGTGGTTCGTACAGTAGCCCGACACGATGGGCATGTAAAGATATTGGTACCGGGAGCAGGTGGGTTCGGTGACCGCTCGGCCGTCGCGGCCTGGAAAGTAAACCATTCCTTCAAACAAGCACCGCAAAATGTGTGAAGACAATCAAGGAGAGTCAAAGGCTGGTAAAGGAGCTCCGTGCAGATCTGCGCGCATAGTTAGCTGCTGTTTGGTGGTTATCGAGCTTGGGAACCAAAAGGCGGGGAGATTTACAGAGCACGTCAGCTCCTTTTCTAAGTCCAAGCCAGTGCTTGTAGACTCCATTCATGTTACTGTACTGGATGCGGCCCTTTCTCTGGGGGTAGAAGAGAACTCGGGTGCCAAAAAGAGCCAGCGCTGAGGAGTAGAGGTTGATTAAAGATACAAGTTGAGGATGGTGTTGGGCTGTTTGTCTAAGCACCTACATGAGCTGCTGCTAGTGGGTGGCGGGGTCGGTCTGGGCGTCAAGGCTCACCCAAGACTGCCAGCAAGAAATGCCTGGGCCTTTACATGACACACACCTTTTTGAGCAGGTCATGTTATAGAGAGGATAGATTGGGCCGCAACCTCGTAAACGAGAAGATTAACACTGCATGTAGAGGGTCATGTATGTATGTTTGTGGGGTGTGTAAGACAATATCTGCATCAAAGCCAACTTGTACTGTAGGTTAGCAGTGGGATGGAAGGTCATTTGACTCTCATAGTACTTGGTTTTATTTGGAACAGATGTGGATATCAGGTATAGTAACTCGAAAACATGCGAAGGGTTAATTCAAGATTGTCTTTGTTTTGCTCAAGCTCAGCCTTTGATTACACCGCTGTTAACCAGTCCCGTAGCTTACACCGACACCCATAGCTTAAAAAGCTGATGGCTTCACCCCACTAAGTATTGGACGGTTGAGAATGTGGATATGCTCCATATACATTCTGATGCATATTGTGCTAACGATTGGCTTTTTATTTGTCTGCGTATATATTCACCTTGGAACATACACCTCTTCTAGTTGGTGAAGATTCGCTCAATTCAAGTATATTTTGAGTTCCATGTTCTCTATGAGTGACTCCACTCAGCCTTCTTCTTCTCTGCGAATGCCTTCATACCGATCTTCTGATCCTGGCTGCCAAACAAGCTGTGGAATACTCGTCGCTCAAACTCAACACCATCACGGAGAGGAAGGTCTTGGCTCTTGTTAACAACCTCCTTAGCAGCCTGGACAGCGACCTTGGAATAACCAGCAATAGTCTCAGCGAGCTTGAGAGTCTCCTCCATCAAAGCTTCATATGTTGGGAAAGTTCTGGCAGCAAGTCCCCATTTCTCAGCATCAACACCAGAGAAGTTCTTGCCAGTAAGGATGAGCTCCATAGCCTTTGACTTGCCAATGGCACGGGTAAGACGCTGGCTGCCTCCAGCACCAGGAACAGTACCGAGCTTGATTTCAGGTTGGCCGAAGTTGGCATTTTCGGTACAGTAGATGAGATCACACATCATGGCCAGCTCGCAGCCTCCGCCAAGGGCGTGACCAGAGACGGCAGCGATGATGGGCTTCTTCACCTGGGTGGTGAGATCGGACCAAGACTCGATGAAGGAGGTGGTATAAGCTTCAGCGAAGGTGAGAGGGGCCATCTCTTTGATATCGGCACCAGCGGCGAAGGCCTTCTGCGACCCGGTCAAGACAATGACTGAGGTATCATCAGCTGCATTGAAATCGAGCAGGGCCTGGTTAAGCTCCTTGATAAGAGGTGTGCAGAGAGCATTAAGAGCCTTGGGTCGGTTCAATGTCACTAATATAATCATTAGCTACTGTATCATGAGAATTGAAGGATACCCATACCTTGACCGACACCAGGCTTGGGCTGTGAGACCTGGATATACTCATAGGTCTTGGAGCTGTAAGCTCGAGCAACTCGAGGAAGAGTAGACCGTTGGAACGGCACTCGAGCAGCCGCAGGTCTCATATACCGGAAAGCGTTCATTGTGAATTACCTATGGTACAAAAAATGAATAGTGAGATTACACCGTTGTCTTGACCTTGAAACAATTATGTTTGTATAGCTAAAGATTGAGCAAGTCAATAAGAGCTTGGGGGTGCTTTAAGCTTCCCCCAGTGACGCAACTGGACCAAAAGAGCCGAGGATAACATCCAATGGGCCGGCCATATCCATGACAAAGCCGATGAAACAGCGATACAGAATCTGTTAGTGGGCGTCACGTGCTTGTTGCGATATCATGACTTTTCATGATGGGTTATCAAATACATGTGGGTGTTTCTGTTTCATGGCTAAAATTTATAATAACTTTCTTGCTCTTATACTCGACCCTTCACTTGTAGGAACGATAAATCAAAACGTGGTACGTCAGCCCTGCCAACAGTGAATTACTTGGATAGATAGTGGTCCACACAGAATGATGAATACAGTATCATGCCCATCCAAAGTCAATTGGCCATATCTGGTATGGCAGCCTCATTTTCTTCGTTTGTGTTATGGTACCTGAAGTTACAAGTATCATGGTGATTGAATTTACAGTTAGTACCTACCTACCTATCTATCAAACCGTTGGCCACGGGCATGAACTGGACAAGGGGGAAGCTGCGCCTCATTGACATGTGGAGTCCAAGGGGCTCTCCAACGACCAGGGCCATCTCTTCCCCCAGACCCAGGCAATCTGGCTTTAATCACCAATAGGATTGTAGATTAACAAGGGAGGCCACCAAACAACCTGCCTGTCAACTGTCCAGTAGGTTCTCCTTTGTCCGGTAAAGGGCCGGATGTTTAGCAGCTAGCTAAGAAATATTACTTACCTTACGTTACGTGGCTGTATCTCTATCTCCAACAAAAGTTCAGAGCCCCGTTTAGAGCCTATCTCTATAATAGTCCTTCTTTTTCTCTCCGCATCAATCAGACCTTGCGAAACGATCCTCGTCAGTTTCCACGATCAGACTCGACTCTTGACTCGGTACCTGCGACCAAATCCCTTCAGACCAATCAACCTACTTTCATCGACTGCCGCGAATCGATACCCTCTATTCAAGATGAATGCGCCAGAGCCTGAACAGACACCTTTCGAGGCTGTCAGTGTCCACACCTCGAAGATCCAGCGAGTACGTCTTTGAACGCCAACTATCCTATCTCGCGACTCCTCTAACAACGGCGATAGAAATACCAAGCTTTGCTGGATCAGTCTACCCCTTTCGTCCTCTATAGATGGATCGGTACCGTTGTGTGTCTTATGCTCTTCTTCCTACGAATCCTGATTGCGCAGGGCTGGTACATCGGTATGCTTTGCCCTTATCCGCAACTTGACAAATAAGATACTAACCAATGTCTAGTTGCCTATGCGCTCGGTATCTACCTTCTGAACCTGTTCCTCGCTTTCCTGCAACCCAAGTTCGATCCCTCCAACGAAGAGGCCGATAATGAGATGGAGGATGGCTCCGTGGGTACCCTCCCTACCAAGTCTGATGAGGAGTTCAAGCCCTTCATCCGCCGACTTCCCGAGTTCAAGTTCTGGTACTGGGCCACCCGAGCCATCGTCATCGGCTTTACTTGCAGTTGGTTCGAGGTCTTCAACGTGCCTGTTTTCTGGCCCGTCCTTGTCATGTACTGGTTCATTCTTTTCTTCTTGACCAGTAAGTTCAGCCCATATAAGTGATTAATCACCGCAAGACTAACCGTCGATAGTGCGCAAGCAAATCCAGCACATGATCAAGTACCGCTACGTCCCTTTCACCGTCGGCAAGAAGAACTACGCCAAGAACAGTTCGTAGACGAACGGAGCTTTCAGGATTACTTTCTTCTTCAGCACGACAGGTGAATCGACCCGCGAGATACCTGCGTGTCCTGTATTACCACGAAGGCCAGCTTTATAAAGCTGCACCATAATACGATGTGTGTTTCAGGGCGTGTACTACAATCATGAGGCGGAATTGACGGGCTACAATGCAGTGCAAATGGGGTTCGGCGATAAAGGATATGGGCTGTTTGGAACGAACGCACCCTAGCTATATATATTTGAATGCGCTCGGGGCCATGAAAAACAGGGCAGATGAATCATCTAATGGAAATGACAATTTATACGATTCAAGATAACGTCTCATCTATTCTGCATGTTATTTGTGCTGTTCGGGCAGTTCCAACTCCTTAGGTCAAGTTGCAATCGAAACCTGATCATCAATTATATACGAAAGAAATTGATCACAAATTCTAAACTTTGTCGGCATTGGATTATATTACATCAAAATCAAATTTCGTTCAATAATTCCGTCTTGTGTTTTTGCAGTTGCAATTGTATAGAGGTCGAGGCATAGAGCGTGGAGCTTGGACGGGCCAGTAGCCTCGCGCCGCATTTCTCAGATTTCCGACCTCGAACCTCAGCCGCGCTCGCGCTTAAGCTTCTCCATTCAACTTCCCAACTCAAAACCAACAAAGAATCGCGCCCTCATTCCTTTCAAACGCATCGCGACAATACAAATATACCGAATCGTTCTCCGGCGCTCGTCGCCAATTCTATAATTATGTCGTCCTCAACTTCTCGCCCCGGTGAGCGCATGGTTCATCAAGACTTCATCGCTCGAATTCGATACTCCAATGCGCTCCCTCCACCACCGCACCCCCCGAAGTTGCTTGATATCCCTAATACTGGCCTTGCAAGTGGACAGTACACGACGCCAGGTTTCGCCTCGCGACTTGCGAGGGAGCAACCACTAAACATCGAGGCGGATGCCGAGCTTGGAATGCCCCTTGACCTAGTGGGCATGCCTGGTGTTTTTGATGGCGATGAAAGATGTAAGTTACGTACAGTTCGTGTTGAAATCTCGTGTATCTGACTCCATTTTAGCTATTCAAGCTCCCGCTCATCCTCCTGCTCTTCATCCTCACGATCGACCGCTTCTAAGACCCATCGCCGCTCTCGGAAAACTCAAAGCCGCTGAAGCCAATGTTTCTTTCCTTCGCCGAACAGAATACATCTCTTCAGGCAGCTCGAAGCGCCAGGATGGAGCTGTTCCTCGCGCTATGCTTACAAAGGCCAACAAGAACAAACGTGTTCCAGAACCTGCTGCCGATTCTCCTCACGCCATCAAGCGCAAGATCGACAAGGGCTTCGAGATTGCAGAGCAAGAATTCAATGACCCCAAACGCGCCAAACATCCCAGCAAGAGGCATCTCAAGGTGGTCGATGTCTCGCCTCTTATTCCCGATCTCGACGCTTTCCCTGATACCGGCGCATACGTCACAATAAAATTCCACCAAGCCCCTGTAGTCAGCACAAAGCAGTACGACAGACGTCTTCTGAGCGGCTTGTTCAAACCTATCGATCGATCACCAGAAGAGGAAGAAGCGTACGAGGCTGCTATAGCAGCTCACGAGCAAGATCCTGCCAACGTACCAAAGCCTCAAAACTCGATGAACTACGAATACTATCTTGCAGCTACAGCTGCTGCCGGAGAACGTTTCCGTCGCAAATTCGATGTCGAGGATGCCGACCACAACGAAGACGAACTCTATACCCACCAGTCAGACGCTGGAGGTTGCTTCCAGTTTCGTAGACTTCGAGGTTACGAGACGGCTCAAGAAGTCGAGTTCGAAGCAGCAACCAAGTATGATGAAGAGATCATCTTGTCATACAACGAGGACACATTCTACCCTAATCAGAAGGCTGTGTACTATTATCCTGTTCAACAGAAGTCTGTTGTCCGCCCTCAACGAACCAAGAATATAGCACGAAACATCGGTATCGCCGACGAGGAACAGGTCATTGATCAGCTTGATATTACAGTTGAAGACCCCACTGAAGAGGTTCGTGAGATGATAAAGTCACACCACGACCATCCTCTTGGAGGAACACAGGAAGAGGAGGAGCACCATGAAGAGCACCATGAGGGTCAGGATGCTGAAGGTGAAGAGAACGCCGACCACCGGGGCAGCAGCCCAGCGGCCCGTCGCTCAAGGTCGGTTTCTGAAGAACGTGATGCCGAAGGTGAGGACGATGACTAGGTTTTTATCGTTCACTGAACGGTTCCAGGGATTGTGGTGTAAATTCATTAATCATAGATTTCAGGCGTAGTAAAAATTGACATTCTAAACACTATACATGTACACTTTATCTGGAGACTTGCTTAATATAATGCTGATATCTTGATATCTTGGTCCAACCAACCATAACGCCAAACCTTGAGATAGTTATACTAACCTCTATGCTTTCCAAAAATCCATATGCGTGTGCGTCGTTCAATCAGTTCAGTTCATTCACTCTTCCGTCTTCTCTTTCGGTAGCTTGGTATTCGCACTGCTACGATCGTAGCCGATGATATCTCTCTTGTCGTCTATCACTCGTGCATATCTATATCATGTTAGCGCATGTTCAGAAACACTTTAGAATAACATATAGTGAACCTACTCTAGCATTAAGCGGAAGAACCATGCTTCCATGTCGACCTGGCGAACAGCCTGGCTCGCCCACTCACGACTGACGGCAGCAATGCGCTCACCCTCTTGACGACCAGCTTCCTCGATCTCGAAGAAACGTACGGCCTCGAGCCAGTCGTCTCCTTGGATACTGAGCGGGACGTAATGCGCCCATGGCTTAAGCCACTCGGCGTGCCATTCACGGAAGACGGCGAGCTTGAAGGTCAGGCTGCGACTGCGAAGGAAGGCAGTAAACCGACCCGAGAATGCATTGCCGTCCATGTCAAGAAGGTATTTGTAAGACCAGGCATCCTGCTGATCGACAGCTTCAGTGACGTTGAAAAAGGCCCGTTGCGCCTCACAGTCACCCTTATCGCATTGGCCAATATGGGAGAAGTGGACGTCAACCATATCGCTGTAGTCGCCTCGTGCAACCTCACTAACTCCCCAGGATGGTTCTTTCTGTTTAGTGAGGATCTGAGCTTGATCTCGCGCATTAAGCTTTTGAACAAGGCGCTGGCGATGTTGACGTCTCCAGCGACCATTGCGGCTGTAACCTCCTGTTGTAGAACCTCGCCAGTACAGCTTGCTCTCTTTCTTGGTCCACTCCATGTCCATCTCCTCGTCGTATTCTACCTTAGCGGCCCAATCCCAAGGTGATGGGTACACAAGATCGCTGTAAGATGAAATCTTGGACTGTGAGAAGATGGGGAAGAGATCTTGTACAATTCTGTATGTGTTTGGGCCGCCGAAGAAACCAAAATTGGACTTGAGGCTAGGCGACAAACAGATATCAGACATTGCGGTTGTATTATAGACGAATCCGAGATCACTCATGCCGTATCTGCTTCGATGATCAACTGTTTCTTCCTCTTCAAGGCATCGAGCTGGTGTATCAGGTGGACAGGACAGGCGAGAATGAGCCCATGTTGACTGGTGGGCAAAGGAATTGAACCGTGTTAGAGTTGTTTCCTCAAATGACTTCCCATCATGAAGCTCCTTGTTGGTCTGAGTAAAATCGTTGGCAAGTTGTGGCTTCGAAAAAGCTGCAGGCATATTTTTCTCCTTGGCTATCTTAACCAATCTTGTCAAGTCTTCATGAGAAAGAATAACACGAGACTCGTCATGGAAGTTGAAGGCGAGATCCATGTCCGGCAAGTACTTGAGAAACTTGTTCATCATTCCCTTTGTGGCATTTTGCTGCCACTCGACGCCATTCTCGATATATGAGATCTTGTGGTCTCGGATAGACACTCCAATCAACCCGTTGTCAAAGCCCAATGCCTCTCTGGCTCGAGACCTGATAGCTTTGGGTTTGAGTCCCCAGAAAGGCGTTATGAGATCATAGATCGTGTCGAACTCATCAATCAGTTTGACATTGTTGTCCTTTGCAAACTGAAACCACTTGTCGAAATGAGGAGGCGGTGGCATTCCATATCGTCGTCGATACTCTTTTACCGCCTCATCAAGCGTCTTTGATTGACGAGCCTTGAGTTGTTCGAATTCCTTTTGAGCGTTGCTGGTAAGATGCTTGATGGGATGAACTTCTGGGTTTGGGGGTTGTTTCGGCTGCGAGCTTCCCTCAATGAGCGGTTCATCTTGTGATGTTGGCACTGTTGATGATGATGGTTCTGAGGATGCCGGTGTTTGTATTTGATACTCTATTGTCTTTTGTTGTGGTATTCTCAACAGACTATAAGCGCAGAAGCAGAATAATATCAAGGCTGCAATGGATAAGAATTGACGCCGTTGAGAGGCGCGAAATGATAGGAGAGAAATCATGTTTGTAAATGGCCTCTATGCCAAATACACATTTGAAGTCGACACTGAATCGAGTTCGAGAATCTTCAGCGGACGGTTGAAGTGCTACTAGTCTCAATAAGAATCAATAAGAACGTTCAGTATTCATAAAGTCATAACCGGACTTGATGTCTCGGGACGAAGCTGAGCATTGATATGAGACGCCCAAGGTAGTGCAGTCTTGGCTTGAGCGTTCTCATTGGCTGATGTCCTGAAAAGAAAACAACGGCGCTGCAGGTACTTTGTTGCCACAACGACTTGAGCCTCATTGTACTAAGAGAAGCTCAGACAACCTTCCAAATAGGACATCAAATTTATTGTAGAATACTGTCTTGACACATAGTTTGCTAGATAAAATCACTCTAGTTTTGGAACTGGTCAAGGTACAAAGCAATGCTATCAACCTACGACCCGAGCTGTATACCCTCGACTCAGGTAATCAAACAATTTCATCACAAGTCTTTACTATCACATCACAACGTAAGGAACTATAGGTTTGAGCATCTCGTAAAGGTTCAATTCGAATGCTCGCGTGTGCGATAAGCAACTTGGCTATATAATCGCATCGGTCCTAGTCATCATCCGCCTTTAACGCCGAGATTGCCGATTTCTTTTTAAATCACTTTTTGATTGGTATCCCGTCCCTTTTTAGTAGAAGAAACCAATGATCTTGCCAGAGACGTGCTTGCGGCGAGCCTCCTCGTGGTCCATGATACCGGCAGAGGTGGTGAGGATGACGTAGCCGAACTGACGGGCAGGGAGCAGCTTGACAACCCACTTCTCGAGCTCGGAGAGACGGACGTTGTAGCGGGGAGAGATGACACCGGTCTTGTTGAGACGGCCGTTGAGCTGGACAACGATCTTGCCGGATCGGTGGTCATCCACCTCCTCGAACTCGCCGATATATCCTTGAGATAGGGTTAGAAAGAAATGTTTCGTAAGATTAAACGTTAGACATCATGAGAAGGAATCCGAAAAACGTGTAAGGTCTCCGAGTTGAATCTATCGGCAATTTATAGGGGCGGAGTCGTGGTGCAGTATCGACGATCGCCCTAGTTATCATGCCGAGTGTTGGAGATGGGAGAGGATTCGAAGACGTATGGTGATATGGTCATGGTGAAGTTGGACCGTCGGCCATGTGTCATGTCGAATAGTGGAGACCAAACGAACGGTAACGGACTTGTGGATATTGATAGGAAAAAGGTTCGTAGTACATACCGTGACGCTGCATAACCTGGAGGAACTTGATGATGACCTTGGAAGAAGGTCGGATCAGGACCTGGCGCTTGCCAGCCTTCTCGGCGTTGTTGATGGCGTTGAGCGCATCGTGGAGGACGGAAGTGCGGACCATTTTGGCGGTGTTTTAGACGAGATTCTCAAGTCGGGACGGGAAATGAGGTATCTACCAAGATCGATGTTAGCCTTCCAAAGGCTCCCTGAGCGAGGAGAGTGCCCTCAACGATCGATCGCGAGGGTTCTGCCGCCCATTGCTGAAGAGGAGAAGCGTATCGAGGGAATAATCGCCAGCCCGTGATGTGTATATTTTCCGGCCATTGTTGAAAAGATCGGGTTTTTATTTTCTCACGTTCGACGACGACGCCCTCGATTGCTCTCCCTTGCCATGGTAAAAGGCATCATCCTTATCGATTCGACTCGCTGTCAGCGTAAGTCATACATACCTCGAGAAATTGACTTGGTCGTTTGGTGAAGACTGTAAAGGAACGAAAAATCGAAAAGGCAGAAAAAAACCTAAGCGTACCTGGGATGCAGACGAGGAAAGAACTGTGCGGAAAGTGGGTCCGTGCACTTGCCCTAAGGGTCGCACCTTTAGATTTCGGCAAATCCCCGTCAAACTAAACGAAGACATTTCCAGATCACGAATCAACCCCCCCTTCCAACTTTTCCTTGATACACTTAGAATCTTCGAGGATCGCCCGACGAGAACAAAAAATATTCAAGATGGTGAGTTTTTGATATTGTTCCGCCTTCTGATCGTCAATTGCGCTACCCAGGCTACGGATGCGACCTGGAGAGTGCCAATTTGCGACGTCAGTGGGGGGATAACCAGAAAATAATTACCAAAAATCGACATGTTGGCTAATGTTTGCTTGCGATTTAGTCGGACGTAGAAGACAACACCCCCGAGGTCGCCGATGTTGTTGAGGTTTCCGGCGAGGCCCCTAAGGGCCAGATGTCCATTCTCGACGCTCTCAAGGGTGTCCTGAAGCTCTCTCTCATGCACGACGGTCTTGCCCGTGGTCTCCGTGAGGCTTCCAAGGCCCTTGACCGTCGCCAGGCTCACATGTGTGTCCTGAACGAGAACTGCGAGGAGGAGGCCTACAAGAAGCTTGTTGTCGCTCTCTGCAACGAGCACAACATTCCTCTCATCCAGATCCCCGACGGCAAGCAGCTCGGCGAGTGGGCCGGTCTCTGTACGTTACAACCCTACCGGATATGACGACGAGTATAATCAGAGTGCTAACAAGTTTCAACAGGCGTTCTCGACCGTGAGGGTAACGCTCGCAAGGTCGTCAACTGCTCTTGCGTCGTTGTTAAGGACTGGGGTGAGGAGTCTCAGGAGCGATCCATCCTCCTCAACTACTTCCAGACCGAGCAGTAAGGGTTTTAATCGGCGTTGGATGTGTGACGGAGATTAGAGATGCGGACTTGGTTTCGGGACCGCTTGACGCAGAAATACTGTACTCTAGCCACTTCGACTGGCATCTAAAAACGGTTTTAAGGCCTTACGTCTCATGGCCATGTTGCATTGAGAGGAATAAAAAAAATTGGGCATCATCTGATAATCATATTGCTTCGTGTGTGTGTGTATCTCTTGTAACTGGTGTAGGTTTCCCAGCCTGCGCCATCTACTTTCTGCCTTCGACCTGATATTGATGTTAAAAGACATGCCAAGAATTTTCTGATATATGCAAAACTCACCATGATAATATGATATCCAAAGCCGGTCTTGACCTCGACGAATTTGGGACTGGTTGTTGTGCTTGGTTCAAGAGCAAAAGCAACCTCTTCGAACTTGGGATCCAAGCTGCCCTTGGTCTTCCAACCCAAGGAACCACCCTGTCTGGCCTTGTCCTCTGAAAACTCCCGCGCAACTTCGTCGAATTTGGCACCGTCGTTCAGCTTCGCTAGAGCCTCCTCCTTCTTGGCATGCTTCTCACACTTTGGTTTGAAGCTCGTCAGCGTTGTAATGGCGGGGTGGGAGCTGTGCTGCGACTCAAACTCACCAAAATGTGACGAACATTGATGCTCTGAGCACCTTTTGCCTTGCCACCAGAGCCCGAGTCTTTGGCATCTTTACCCTTGTCTCCTCCCTTGGCCTTTCCGCCCTTGTCAGCACCCTTCTTGTCGTTTTTGCCCATCTTTTCTTAAGAGATCGTCGTGTAAGAGGAAGAAGAATCTAATTTGCTGCAGTCATGGTACAGCATAGGTAGTAGGTAGTAGGTAGCTTTGGTGGCGGGGGAGTCATGCCCCGCCATGGATGATATGGACCCTTGAAGACTTCCTAATATGGCCGTGCCCTTTGATTTATGAGATTGGTATAGATGAACATTGACATTTAGGTTGAAACTTTACTCGTAGTCATAAAGACGGTTCAGTATCGAGTATTGTCTTGGTGATCTATTAGTATCTGGTGCCAGACCCGGGTCTTTCATTGCAACGCCACGCTCTATCATGCTTGAACTACCAAATTACAGAAGCCCTTCTTTCTTGAACTTGTAAACCAACGAGTTGCGGAAGTCATTGGACTGCTGGTATACCTCCAAGTCAACCTTTTCCTGTGCCATTTTCAACTTCTAATCCAGAAAGGCCTTGGATCCTCTCTTCTGCTTGATTAACTCGCTCTCATATTTCTGGTAGAGGTCCCAGTCGTCCAACTCAGATGGACGGGGTATATTAAGGACGTCCTCTATCGGTTGCTGGTCGCTAACTCTCTCCAGAGTGAGCATCATATGGTGCCTTTCGCTGACTTCGTTAAACCATTGACTATATCGGCGTATTGTGTATCTACTGCAAATTAGAAATCTGTAGTTGTCCGACGATCGGGGAAACTTGCAAACCATCGTAACGTATACCAGCTTTTGGCGCAAAGGGACTTCTGAGACGATACCCACGAAGGATGCGAAATGTAGCTCCCACTTGAGATATGAGCGAAACATGTATGTCTCTGATTCTACCTTGTCTGACATATCTTATGGCTCCGTCGTCATAATCAATGTTTTCTTGTCCGGTGAGTAACGGTAGAGCGGCAACTCCATATTTCCCTTTGGTGGGTTTCTCGCGGTTGCTACCGACGATACCATCCCGATGTGCGCAAGCCAAATTGAGCCACCAGCTACACCATGGATGTCAGCAATAGCTCGATTACCTAGGTCCATTATCTTCTTACTGCCCAGGTTCGATCTCCAGATTTCCCTCCATCTCTGATAGAGTCTCGCCATCGTTGGCTTGCCAGCGGTCCTCGGGGTTTTCTGCATCAAGATTCAACGTCACATCTCTGAGCCGGCCGTCTCTGGATAATTCGCGATAGCGATGCTGCTCGATATGGAAATAGGGACCTCGAAACCGCTCGACCCATTTGCGTTCTAGTCGTTCTGCCACCTGGATATCTGTCGTGAATCTCGTCGGTACTCTGGGGTGTCGATATCTCGGATTGATGATTTCCGATATGAGCTTGTCCAGGTGAGTGTTCCGAATAGTCTCGAATTCTATGGCGCGACTACCGTCATTTTCGTCCCCCAAGACTGCTTTCAGAAAGCCCATCAATTCGTCCCACCTGGGTTCAGGGCGTCCCTCATAGAGATTACTTCGGACACTATCGCACAATTCACGCAGCCAATCCACATCGTACCCTATCCTAGGGGCAAATGACTTCCTGCCTTTTCTGTATGTGATGGGACTAGGTTGCAATTGAGATAGCGACTGCGGTTGAGAGTCTTGTTCAGGATTGGTAGCAGGGGCTATACTTTGTAAGCTGGACTGCGCCTCTGAATGATGCTCAAGATAAGGTCTCACCTTTGCCTTTACCTTTGGAGGACGACATGTAGTCGGCCTGATCATTGATTGAGCTCCAACGACGACGCTCGCGGTCAAGACGAGCAGACAAGGGCGCCTGTAAGCTTTCTATTAGCCTTGTTTATTGAAGTAATGTGTTGCAGAGCAATGAATGATATAGAAAGGCCCTTGTAAGGTAATGAAGTATGTCTCGATGCCAGTAGCTAATTGTACATGATGATGGATTGGGCTGAATACAGGGGCTTTGGAAATTAATATTTGTTTGTCGCTCCTTACCTGGCTATAGCTCTTGCGGTTTGTTACTGGTGTTTTTGGTGGTCTGGCGTCCATTATCTGCATCTTGTACACTAGAGCAGTAGGTAATAGTGAGTAGGCTGTTCCTGACCTGGGCAGGTCACTCGATCAAAGGCAGTTGCAACAACAAACTACCAGTTATCTTATCTTTCCAAGCCCAGGCTGAAATAAATCTTTGTTGGCGTATGACAATAGCAGAGTCTTTCCCGACATTTGTCTTTGCGGCTCATGATTGACATGTCAATTGCGGGCCCGATGCAGTCAACCGCAGGGACAAGAATCAACTGGAAGGAAACTCGGGGCAAAGGCTTTTAGGCTTTCAGGCTCAGGCTTTCAGGACTGGTCTTTCGTTCGTCACAAGACAAGAGAAGGCGAAACAAGAAAAAGACATCAAGACTGGCAATTAACCAACTTGCCAGATTCAAAAATGGCCACACTTGTTTGCTTCTCGCTAACTAAAGCAGGCGATAAGAGAAGATAAAAATTTTGGAGGAGAGAAAGAAAGAGAGAGAGGAGGGGCGGTTGGATCACGCCTTGTTCCGTCGTGTGCGTCCACGTCCACATAAACAACCCTTGCAAAGGATGCACTTGAGTACTTAACCGACCAGCCGAGCAAGGAAGGTCTATCAACAGGTAAGGTACCTGGGTATCTAAACTTCAATCCGAGTATTAGACTTGTCATGCGGGCAACTTTGTCAGTGTCCGAGTGACTCGTACAAGAGAGGGGTTCTGAATATTGAGGAGACATGGTTTGCTAGTCTCGGTACAGTACAAAACAGTACAGTACAGCGAGTGTGGATTATCAAGATGTGATAGCTTAGTCTAATCAATCAATCAATCAATCAATCAATCAATCAATCAATTGTCCGCTCTTTGCGCGGCAATTATAATGCATAAGAAAGATCCATATATGCCGGGGGTCCATCATGCCACATGAACTACCAGGTACAGTACAGTATCCAATGCAATGCTAAATGGACCCTCAGCAGCCTCAAGAATATTCCAAAAAAGATACCGCAGCTGACTTTATTCTCATACAAATCTTAGACTCGGTACTTCCCCATATTCCGCTAACAAACCTACTAACGCTACTACCACATAATGTCAATCTACCGAGTCCAGTCTAGCGGTCCAAACAATACCTAACCAGGATACAGAAGTCTATTGACAAAATAACTTAGACTTGCTTAGGTACTAACCTCAGATTATACTATCCTAACTTTTATGATACCCTTAGCTAAGTCTTGCTTTTTCTTTGGTCAAAGTGCTAGTCTAAATGCTTGTCTGAGTAACACCGTAACATGTTGTTCAATGGCTCCTTACCTTAAAGATCCTTAAGCTAACCATTTTATAAGACATGTTCCCGTCAAGTCGTCGGGTATTAAATTGCTGACAGTTCTCTCCAGTTTCCCATGCACAGGCCAATAAACTAAGACAGAGCAACCAACCTGAACAATAGAAATATGTTTAATTCCCTACTGTTACCTGTTACTTACCTTAAGTTGATCTGCTGGAAGCTCGTCACTACCTACACTCTGAATATGACTCTGACAGTCTAGAACCCGTTGCCGTTACAGAGTCGTGCCATGGAAAACGCAAACAGCAAGCTCTGAACATTCTTTCCGAGTAATAACATTGTATCTGATACAGCAAATTATAGACCTTACCACCTATTCAGGGTTCTTAAACTTCCATTCTGTAAGAAGTACATCTGTCTATCATCACTTATACTCCAAGCTTGACCGCCTGCCGTTTGAGGTGCCGCAGTAGCACGACCTTTCCACCGCCTTCCTCAATCAATCTCTAGCAAAGTACTGCCGGAGAAAAAAATACAGATCGCAAAGTTGCCCAGCGGGGCAATTATCGAGTTGAACCAGACATAGCTGTCGCAACTTTACGACAGCATCAATATACAGCTCAATCTTAGCTGCAATAGTCACAATGGCGGAACAAAGTCACCACGCAGCTCGTGGCACTGCTTCCTATACCCGATCCATTGGTATCAGCCAGCGCGTAACACCATTGGACGTATCATGGACGGGTGAAATGCGCACGAGGTATGCGCCGAATCAATCTTTAGATGAGCCTTTGAGAAACTAACAGGATTCAGGTTCTCAGACTTCCAAGTCAACGAGATTAAGGAGGATGGCTCGGTTCTGCACCTCCAACAGGTTGGCCTTGCTGGCGAAGAGGCACCAGTAAGTCCAACGCGCCTTGCAACTTTTCTGGCGCACTAACAGTACCGCAGGCGACAGAAGTGAAGAAGGAGTCGAATGGCGATTCGGAAGTCAAGGAAAGCAAACCCGAAGAGCCCGCGCAAGATGCTGAGAAGCAACCTTCGAGCGAGACTGCGACCGAGACCAAGCCCGCTGCTCAGCCCGAGCCAGCCAATGAAGTTTCACCCGAGGATGCAGCCATTCTCGAAGGCCTGACCGACCAGCGCTTTTCTCAAGAGCTGATCGAGGTATACAAGGCTGGTTCCGGTCCCGATAACGACAAGAGGAAGTCGGTTACTTCAGAGCCTATGGACGACAGAACAAAGCGAGGCCAAGTACACCAGGAGATTCGACGCATCTTCAAGTCACGCATCGATACCAACACCTCTGATGATGGCGCTATTATCGCAACTCTTATTCCTCCACGAAAACCCAACAGCAAGAAGCGCGGTCGTGGTGGCGGCAGAGGTGGTGGCCGAGAGGAGAAGCCCGCTGGCGAGTACTTACACTTCACCCTCTTCAAGGAGAACCGCGATACCATGGATGCTGTCAACCAGATCTCTCGATTCCTCAAGGTCAAGCCTCAAGTCATTGGATACGCTGGAACAAAGGACCGCAGAGCTTCCACAGTGCAGCGATGTTCAGTGCGATACATGCGACCCAGAAACCTTGCCGGTATTAACGGTAGGCTCTGGGGCGTTTCGACAGGAGACTATGAGTACGCTGACAAGCCAATTTACCTTGGTCAGCTTCTCGGCAACGAGTTCGTTATTGCCATCAAGAGCTGCCAAATGGTTGGCGAGTCCAGTGACGAACCCGTCGCACAGCAGGTAGAGAAGCTAAAGAAGAATGTTGATTCTGCTCTGAGCCACATGAACGAACATGGCTGGATCAACTACTTTGGTCACCAGCGATTCGGAACCCACGAGGTTGGCACTCACCAAGTTGGTCAGCTGATCCTGGGTGATAAGTACGAGGAAGCAGTCAAGTCGCTGCTTCACTACGACGAAGAGATTGCGCAGAAGGCTGAGGCAGACGAGATCCCTGAAGAGCCTTCCAAGAGAGATGAATATCTACGAAACCAAGCCTGCATGCTCTTCCTCACAGATAAGGACGTTGACCGAGCCATCAGAATCATGCCCCGACGATTCTCTGCTGAAAACAGCATCTTCAGGCACTTGAACAGACAAGGAGCACAGTCACGACGCGATTTCATCGGATCCTTGGTTCACATCACCCGAGGTCTTCGCTCAATGTATCTCCATGCCTACCAGTCCTACGTCTGGAACCATGCTGCTAGTCGTCGATGGGAGCTCCATGGTGAGAGCGTTATTGCTGGCGATCTTATCATTGCGCCGACAGAGACAACGCCCCTCGTCAGCGGCCAGGATCAAGATGGTGATGACATTATCAACCCCGTCGAAGACGACGAGGACACCCCTGTTCGCGCCCGCCCTCTCACAGCTGAGGAAGCAGCCAGTGGAAGCTACACCATTTTCGATATCGTACTGCCTACACCGGGTTACGACGTTGTCTACCCCGAGAACGACATCGGAGAGTTCTACAGGGAGTTTATGGGCCGTGACGAAAACGGCAACCTTGATCCTTATAAGATGCGCCGCATGCGCCGCGAGTTCAGTCTCCCTGGCCGATACCGCAAGATTATGAACCGTTTCCTCGCTACGCCTTCCGCTGAAGTCCGTGCCTATTCCGACGATACAGAGCAAATGCACCCAACTGATCTGGACAACATCAAGGCGTCAAAGGGAGCCAACCGAAAGCGCTCTCGAGAAGACGCCGAGTCCGATTCGACAGTCAAGAAGACCAAGGTCGAGGGCAGCACCGACGTGGAGATGACAGAAGCCAGTGGTCAAGCTGCCGACGGAGAGGCTGCTACTGCAGAGAACGCTTCTGCTCCCACTGAGGCTACTCCTGTTGTTCAGGAACCTAGCAAGGTCGCAGTGGTCGTCAAATTCCAGCTTGGGCGCAGTGCGTATGCGACCGTTGCGTTGCGTGAACTCATGGGAGACCCGCCTGCGGATTCCGAGTAAATATAAAAGAATGCGCTAAGTTTGTGTATTGGAATTGTAGAGTTGAAACATACAGAGAAAGCAGGATAGCCAAGAATTTGATACCCATCTATTGAAGTGGGAGAATACAATAAAAATGATGCGCTTGCGATGTCTAACATGGCATCTTACGCGCAATTCGCTAGTTTTTTATACACGCTGCACAACCCGTTCTAAACCACTAACCCTAACGTCTCCGAAGTCAAAGCCTGCGATGGGCCCCTGGATTCTCATGGCCACTCCCCATGTGTTACATAGATATGAATTCCCTGGCTCAACTTCCTGGCTTTAGATTGAAATCAGACTAGAAAGCTAACCAGAGCCCAGCCTTGTTCACATCATAGTTAACGGAGACAAAATTGTTGTCGCAAGGTATGGTCTCCTCTACTTCGTTTGACCATAAAAGAAACAGTGTTCACGGTTCAGAGCCGTATCTCCTGAACCCGAGCTGCTTCCACAGCCCATCAACTTCTTCAGAAATCTCAGCTTTTTGTGATTCTCGAGATCCTTCGGCACCATCGCCTTCCTGAGTTGTGTCGGGAGTCTGATCGTCAGAAGCTTCAGCCACTTGTGTATCTTTCTAAGAGTCCTTAGGCTGGTCTCCCCAGCCCCAGACATAAGAAAGATACTTCACCATGTTGACACGCTTGCTGCGCATCTCAACCATCCAAGGATGTTCCATCATCTTCCAAGGACTGGCTCGGCGGTTGGGCTGTTTTTCCAAACTGGAGGAATGTAAGCAAGTAATAGAATAGTCAAGGTCTAGATAACTTACCAGCACTCAATAAAGTATTTGAAGTTGTTACTCCAGTATACGTCCATATCAGGCTCATCCTTCAATTTTGGTACATCCTGCCTGACGATGTAAGTAAGCAAATCGATAAGGTTGGCCCGTGGTTGCATCTCAGTGCCATCTGCAGGGAACGGGAAACGGTGTTGTGCAACCTCGAGGAGAGTAACTCCTGTCGACCAAACATCCGATGTTATAGTATATGACTGGCCTGTGATCCGTTCAGGTGCCATGTAGTAACTGGTACCGATGAAGGTATTAGCTTCGCCCTTGGTACCGAAGTCGCCCGAGACACCAAAATCGCAAAGCTTGACGGCGCCGTCTCGGCAAAGCAGGATGTTGGATGGCTTGATATCTCGATGAATGATTCGTCGGGTATGCAGGTATGTAAGACCACCGAGAACACCTTCGGCAATCTTTCCTAATACCTTCTCTCCCGTTCGTCCTCCGAGGCGTTTCACTTCCTTGTAAATGCTGTCCAGTGAGCCACCCTCGCAAAACTCCATAGCGATGGAAATGGTGGCTGTGGACGGGTCCACAAATGCACCATAGTACTTGCAGATGTGATCTGAAGCACACTCCTTGTTGAACCCCAATTCTCGGAGGATCTGCTTCTTCACATCAGGGTCCGGATTCGTAGTAATGACCTGGATGCTGTTAGTGACTAGATCCCGCATAACATTTCAGGCGATCTCACCTTCAGAGCAAAGACAGTGTTACCACCCTTGAGCTTGCATCGTGTGACAGCACCACCAGCGCCTTCACCAAGGGATCCAATCTCAACAATTCTCTTTTCGAGACTGGCGATTCTCCATCCCTCTTCATCGAGCTCATCGACATCAAGAGTTCTGGCCTTTTCGAGACTCAGCTTATCAAATGCCTCCAATCCTTGTAAGCTTCCGTCACGCTCCATGGAGACACCACCTTCACTTCTCTCAGAGTACATAGATCCCACAGCAGACACGGGGTCCGGGGTTCCTTGAGGTCTTGTTGCTCCAATGCCATACTGGGAGGCAAAGGACAGGGCCGAGTATTGGGATCCAGCAGATGTAGGATTGCTTGCCCGACCATCCAGGGGTCCGAAGCTGCCTGACCTCGAATGAGCAGCACTGCTCTCACTACCCCCACCTGCCGATGGCTGAGTATTGCATTGAGATCGAGGGAGTTGTTCTTGGGGAGCTACTTGACTGCCCATGGGAGTTGCAAGGTGGAGTGTCGGTAGAGGCGGCCTTGAAGGAGCAGCTGCTGGTGCTCCTTGGTTGCCTACTGGTTTGGCATTGGGTGACGGAGGGATAGCAAGTCCAAGTCTCGGTGTACGAGCTCCACCACTTCTTGCGCCGGGAATGGCAGGTCGGAGAAGAGGGACGGGCGAAGGACCGGAGTTGTGTGTTGGAAGAGAGATCGGAGTGGGAGCGGCGGGTTGTTGCTGTAATTTCGTAAGTAACTAACTCAAGCTGTTCGTGTACGGTGAACGGGAGCATACAGGTTGGTGAGCTGGGTCGGTACCCTGAGAATGTTGGTCGGCCATCTTGAGGTTTTGTGCTGATCAGTACAGCGTATGAAGAACGTATGCGTCAGGAGTGTGTTCGGTAGGGGACCAGCCGAGAGGTATTGGTCTAAGATATGACTAGAGGCTTCTCCTAAAACAAGATATACAATAATGGAGACGACCAGTTGAGACAATCGGGTTTGCAGCGGCAAAATCGTCGAGCGGCCAGCGTCGTCGGTTATGAAATATGAGGTCAAAGATGTTGAAACAGCGTTGGGTCAAATGCACAGCGAGCGTTGAATATTGATTAACCAGGTTGCCAAGTTGAGAGTGAAATACGAAGGTCTTTGTCGAAGAAGCAGAAGCAGAAGTAGAGCAACAAAGCGAGGCAAGCGCAGAAGGGACCCGACAACAGCCCACGCAAAAGAGCGGGGAAAGTACGATTCGAGGCGAGTGGATATAAGATGTCAGTATTTATTGGGCGTTGCGTTGCAAGACCCAGAACAGAAGCTAGGGCGTTGCAGTTACAGGGTCCAAGATGGATGACAAGAAGCGTGGCAGCCAACGACACGTCGTCAAGTCAAGTGAAGCCGAGGCGGGAGGAAAGGAGTCCAAGGAAAAAGGAGAGAAGAAGAGATGAGAAAAAAGGACATGAGATTCAGTCAGCAGCACATGAGATGGAAGGAAGTGTAAGCTGGGAATGGCGTCCACAGTTGATTCATTGATTGGATCGGGTCCCTGGGTGGGCTTGTGACTGAGGTGACTGCCTGTGACTGAATTGATGAACAGCCAGCCATAGAGAGAGGGCGGGGCGCTTGGGCACCTGCGAGTCCCCCTGCTGCAGTGTACTGTACCTGAGCTCCTTCTCATCCATCATGGATCCGGGCCTCTTTGCTCTTTGTCTACCTAGGTAGTTGCGGCGCGGGGGGCGTTGGGCGGTTCAACTTCCCTGTAAGCATTAGGTGGGCGCTAGGCTTGAGCGGGGAGTGAGCTTGAGCTGCCCTGTAAGACGGGCTATCAGCGGATTGGTGGTTTTGGGTTTTGTCTCAGATTCTCGCCAAACCATGGACCATTTCTTGTACACACGCGCACGATTACTTGTTATGGGTTTCGGTATGTTAACACAAAAGATGTTATGCCCGAGTTTTTACTATGTGTGAGGTTCTACTGTATGTGCCGCAATGCATCGTCATTCTAGCAGTAGATACACAACCAACAGACAAAGCACACTCACTACTAACCCTGCTCGCCTATATCAATGAGTGGCATGGGATGGATGGTGGGGATCAATAGATCGACTTGAACCGTCGGTGTTACTTGATTCATATACGCATCTTTCCAGAGCCAAGAACTCACAATACGAAAGGATGAAAGAAACTACACTGGCGAGCCCCTAAAGAACTACCAATTCGTGACTTGGTGGTACGCGCATCGTCATCTGCGTCGTCACAACCTAGAATTGACCGAATTTCAGGTTTTGGGGTATGGCCCCCAATTGTCAGTGTCTTGGATGCCTACCTACTACTCTGCAGCTTTGTTTTACTTGGTCTCATCCATATGCCGAAGACTATGCCCGAGCCTTCCCACACATCATAGGTTGTTTCAAAGTTCAAAGTCAGATTACGACACTCAGTGGGGCTTCTCTATTGACGAGTTGAGCTCTTTCAGAGGCGTCTGTCTCAGTGACAAGTACGGGCTTTAAGAAACCCCTGAGGTCAAAGGAAGATGAGTGCATAACACGAAAATGATGTCTTGAGGATCGACCAACCATCCATCAAAACAAACAAACCCAGTCAACGAGTAGGATTCAGCACACCTTTGCTATGCATTGCCGAAATACGTTGCAGCTGAAGACATCCCAGACAAGTCTCCCCATTCGTTACAAAGACCCTGTCGCATTTTCATGGACGATCTCACACTTTTGACGAGGCAAAACAGGCGCTCGGCTCTCGGCATCAAATATATTGGCACTTGATGTGAAACAAGTAGAGAGTACAGTAAATATACTCATCCGTATTTATCTCAAGACATTGAATATCTTTGCATTATTCTTTTCTCATTCATGTCAGGTACTTAATTAGTCTTTTTAGTGTCCTCTAGTGATTGATCTGAACCATCTCATCTTGTAAGCGCGCGTCTACATAGGTGGGGCTGGATTTAGTGGGGGCGAAGGGTCCCACGGATTTTGCGACGCCAGTCACCGCCAAAAATTTCCAGTCCCATCGAATCGAACTTCGCATTGCGCTCAAGCTAGGACTTGAATGGATTGTACCAGCTCCTGCAATTTATAAACCTCGAAACATGGCGCCCACAGTTGATCCAGATCATGCGACCTCCGCATCGGAGGAGGAAATTTTGTCTGATGCAGCTTCGTCCTCTGACGAGTCCGATTACCTCGACAGCGGCGCATCTCGAAAGCGCCGTAGGACCGCAGAAGTATCCCAGGATGATGGTGAAAAGATTGACTTTGAAGACGACGACGATGATGACGATGATGATGACAACGACGAGGAGTTGAAGAGAGTGTTATCTACAATTCAAGTGCCTTCTCGAATTAAGCGAACTGGTCAAGCCGAGCAAAAGGAAGTTCAAGCAAAGCCTGCAATCGCACCCAAAAACTCGATTCAAGCCCCTACCGACCCGAACACCACTTTCTCAGCGCTCAATGTGCGACCATGGCTGGTACAATCGTTAGGAAATATGGCCATCAAGCGACCCACCGGTATTCAAAAGGGCTGTATTCCTGAGATCTTGAAGGGAAGAGACTGCATTGGTGGCTCCAGAACAGGAAGTGGTAAAACAGTGGCGTTCGCCGTACCTATTCTGCAGAAGTGGTCTGAAGATCCTACTGCGATCTTTGCTATTGTCTTGACACCAACCCGAGAGTTGGCGTTGCAAATTTTTGAGCAGTTCAAGGCCATCTCTTCTCCTCAAAGTCTCAAGGCCATTCTGGTGACAGGAGGCTCAGATATGCGAACACAGGCAATTGAGATTGGAAAGCGACCGCACGTTATCATCGCAACCCCAGGACGTTTGGCTGATCATATTCGCACTTCCGGAGAGGACACTATCTGTGGATTGAGGAGAGTTAGATATGTGGTTCTTGACGAAGCTGATCGACTTCTGAATGCCACTGGACCTGGCAGTATGCTTCCCGACGTCGAGGAATGTCTCTCGGTTCTACCACCAGCTACCGAACGACAGACACTACTCTTCACTGCTACCATTACACCAGAGGTCCGCGCCTTGAAGGACATGCCTATTAAGCCTGGCAAGCAGCCAGTGTTTGTTTGTGAGGTCGATACACAGTCGTTGGCTATTCCTGCAACACTGAAGCAGATGTATGTCAAGGTTCCTGTTACTCACAAGGAACACTACCTCCACGTCTTCCTACTCACCGAGGCGAACGTCGACAAGACTGTCATTCTATTCTGCAACCGAACCTCGACCGCCGATTACCTTCACCATCTACTCCGAATGTTAGACCATCGAGTCACTTCTCTACACTCCAAACTACCCCAGAGGCAACGAATCGACAACCTGGCCCGCTTCCGTGCTTCAGCAGCTCGTATCCTCGTAGCAACCGACGTTGCTGCCAGAGGTCTGGATATCCCCGAAGTCAGCCTTGTTATCAACTACGATCTGCCTCGTGATCCCGACGACTACATTCACCGGGTTGGTCGTACAGCCCGTGCGGGTCGCAAGGGTGAGGCTGTCAGCTTTGTGGGACAGCGTGACGTGGAGTTGGCCCTGACCATCGAGAAACGTGTCGGTCGCGACATGGAGTCCTGGGAGGAGGAGGGCGTTAACCTGGAGACACGTGTGGTGCGAGATGCGCTCAAGCTTGTGTCCGAGAAGAAGCGCGAGGCTTTGTTGGAGGTGGAGGAAGGCAGGGAAGTTGGTGGCAAGCGAAAGCGCACCAAACAAAAGTTACGTGTGGAATAAGTTATTTGAATCTCAGGATAAGAAGTATAGACAAAAGCGAATATTGTTTAATAATGATAGTACCGAACTATGTACTTTACTGGCATCCATTACTCGCATGATGGAGCTAGTAGCCCACCTCATCGACCATACTAAAACGCCAGCAAAACGGCCAACACTAACTACACTTCAAAATAAACAATAAACTCCATCGCAGCATAAGCGGTAAACAACAAAAAGAAGAAAAAGAAAAAATATGGTGCCCCCAGCGAGGATTGAACTCGCGACCTCAGCATACCTCCATGAAATCGTGGACATATAAGAGCTGCGTGATAAACCACTACACCATGGGGGCTCACGGCCGGAAATCCCGAAAAGTAAGTATATAAAGGTATGCTGCAACCAGACAGCAATGCAAAAACAGCTTACAGCGGGAGAAACTCATCAAATTTTCGCAAAAGAGTGACGGGAATGTAGGTTTTGTTCTTTCCATAGGAATTCTCTCGTCTGCTGGTACTCTGTACCTACCGTTCCCCTTTCATGCTAGGAACTGGCGTTGCGTGACTCGGTTGACATGTCTAGCTACATGCTGCAAAGTCAGATCTGGGAAAGAATATGATTTCCTTTTTCTGTAACTAGAATACTTGGAATCAGCGTCGGTTATTAATCTATCGTGTGTGGTCAATTGGCCGGTTGAGATAACAACAAAACGCTGGATCGCCAGTGTCGGCTGGTAGACTAAGACGTCTGCTTCCATGAGACCGCATGTTTCAACATAGCGTACGATATGAAGTTGAGAACCAATCAAGCAAAACACTGCACTTCATCCGACTCTATTTGGAGGTCAGCGTGAAGCTTCTTCTCCCACGATATCCGTCATTGAACTCTGTCCCAACGGATACTACAGACCAGATGGATTACCCGACGAATCGATATCAAGGTTACAGTCAAAGCATACTATTCATGCACAGTTAAACTCGATGACGTTTCCTTGTTCTTGTTTCAACATAGCTGAGATCCTTATCAAGTCAAAGAGCTGTTGGAACAACATACCCTTTTGGTGTGTTGCACTCCCTGGATCGTGGATGCCTGATGACACTCTACAAGCTCAAACATTACAACATAGCAGATGCTTCCAAATTATATCCTATTGTATATATGAGTGCCAACATACCTAGCACGAGACGGTCGATTACTCAGTGCTTAAGTAGTTTGCTCAAGGTTTGTAAGACTGACCTTGATATCCTACTGTGTATTGTAATGCTTATGCAGCCAGTCTACCATTTTACCTATGAGTTATCGTATTGGCTATAAGTCTGTTTAGCTGAACTTTGACGGTATGCTACATCTATTGGGCATATATGTAAGGGGCTTACCGATCATTCTCTGCTTGTCTGTGGGTTTGTAAGTTTACGTTGCACATGTTTATAAATCCACCCCTCAAAGAGACAGAAACAGAGTTCCAGTCTTAACTATCACCAATAAGCCTCACCCGAGCCCGATTGAACCCTTGTATTTATGAATGTTTATTGCTGAAGGTTTCTTTGTAAAGGTACGCAAACTCGACATCCTTTACTTGACTTACAAATGCGGTTGATCATTATTGGAGTATCACAAATGCTAGAATAAGTCCAAGTTACATCTAGCACACTCTTCCTTTGGGTGGGTTCCCGTACAACATGTTTATAAACATGGATGGTTGGTTTTATATGATTCCATGGATTCCGGCAGCGCATAGTTGTCAGTTGTAAGACGTCACCTAGCGTGCTATGGACGTATCGAAATACCAGTGCCTGTTGGACTTTCTCTCATATTATTTAATTAAAGACAACATTACCACGAACATGCGTACATGCGAAGTTTTCCAGAGTTATCTAATAGCAGCCGAAGTCTTGGTGTTGTTGTAAATAGCCTAACCTATACCGTGCTATGTGCGAATTTGTTGCAAAAGCAATGGCATTTTCTAAGAACCCGAGTTTAACGATCGAATCACACGTAGTTCCAAATGATGTAATGATGATTAGCAACATCTTTGAGATGTTGTCTTTCAGTAGTCTTGTTGAACTAAGCTGTTACTCATTTCCCGACATGAGTGACGTGCAGTCCAGTGCAACCTCGAGCGCATCAATAGACAGGTTTGAGGAATGGCGTAGAATAGCAGGTCTTCGCCGACAGAAAAGACCCCTAAAATCCAGCTATCAAGCTCAGTTCCCTGGTTTGAGCTTTCGAGACTCGGAGAAGCGGCACTGGAGGGGCTCCCACTTTGTGCATGTGAAAACTTCCCCCCTGAGCACAATTCTCAGCAGCTGTTTAGTAACAGGCCAGCGGAACCTCTGCCGTCATTTCGACTTTACCAACGTCCTGGAAAAGGTTATTTGGAATAGAACCGATTTCGTACCCGCCCTTGATGGGTTTGATGCCCGATACTGCTGTTAGTCGCCTTGATCGCTAGAATTTGAGACGGAGTTTTGCAAAACTGCGAAAACACCATCCGTACTATCACAGACCATCATGACCCATTAAACAAAGATTTTTGGATTTCGCCCTCTCCAGACTCCAGTCCGTGTCTCACAGCCGAGGCGATCTTGCGTCACTGAGGGTACCGATCTGAGCAAAAGTCGCCGTGCAAGTTTAGCGAGAGACTAAACGTTTGGATCGGAGATTTTAGACGATCAATGCATACCCTGAAGTGACGTAGATTGTCCACATAGCCAAGACTGGATGGCAAAGTGCGTGTATATAGAGAATAGAGTTGGCGAATTGCCTTCGCGATTACTGCACTTTGAGGCGAGTTATGTGATCGATAGATGATCTCTTTCCAGACGAGGAAAACCACAGCGCGTGGCTTTGACTTCAACGACGTAGTTTTGTGGCGTTAGAGGAGACTCGTGCCTGAACCGACTGACAACGCACGGCTGTGGTGTTGTTGGCATTGTAATTGGTAATTTGTCTCGAATGACATGCTCAACTTGGGTTGAAGATTCACGTCATCGTTCTATATTGGGATAGATTTGAGTTGAGGACGGTTTGGCATGTGCCGAGCCGTACCATGCCATGCTTCCGTTGAGTCTGTTTGAAGTAAGCGTGCGATGCGATGCGATAAGAAGCCATCCATTGCAATAAAACAAAAACATCAAAGACGTCAATAGACCGGAATTTGCGGCTTTATCCAAAACTGCGACAATGAGCGATAGAAGGACGGATCCTTCGGAGCTAGGAATTAAACATGCTTGTTGTGTTACTGTTATCTATTCCCTGTCTCTTCTGGCTTCGCTTCCCCACGTTTTTCTCTCTCAAGCGGCAGATCGGCGATTATGAACTCCGTGGCTTTGTCTTGCGGCCGTGACTCTTCCTCCGAGTCGATCAGATCAGATCAGCGGGCGTGTGGAAAATGGAAGGATTCGCTCGGGTCGGCGACGGATGCTTTGTAGATCCGAATGCGAAAAAAGGTCTGCTAGGATTAATCACGAGAGCATTTCCCATGAATTTCTTATCACAAATAAACAGAGTATTGAAGTCGCGTCCTGGTATTGATGATAACTATTGCAGAGTAAATAGCGAAATGAAAGAGCTTTAGATGGCAGCTTGTAGAAGCTTCTCACTCAGCAATTCTTACCTTATCGATCGCATTAGGAATCAAGGTGTAAAAATCAGGCAGTATTGCGAGATTAGTGGAGACTGATCTTCTAGAGACACACCCCCGAACAACCTTCGGCCGAGAAGAAGGCGTAAGAAGCAAAAGTAAAGAATCGACTGACAAAGCAGAAATTAAGGGACCATCCGCTAAAACAACCCAATTCGGCCCAAATATACGCCAAAATCCCAACACCGGCCTATTCCTGTCCCGACCTAAAATATGAGTCTGAGTCTGAGACTGAGACTGAGATTGTGAATTGTGAATTGTGACCGACTTCAGTTGTGATAATGAATGGACTTCAGCAATCTCCGCAATACAGTCAGCATTTGCATTCGCATGTAAAAGGCGGACAACCTTAACCAGACCAGCGGTCAAAGTACATTCGCACACATTCGCACATAAGCGAAAGGGGCTCACCAACCATATTCTTCCACGAGAGGCACGGTCAGCCTGTGCTGTGATGTGTTATTTACGGCAATCTATAGTGTTCTCTATACCGTACTTTGCAATATGCACGGTAGTAAGTAAGCGGACTTTGGTCTGTTTTGTGTTAAACCCTTTTGAGACTGCTTTACGATGAGTATGGATGACTCAAATCACCACCAAATCCAAATCCAAATTCCCAACAAGGGTCCTCATGCAGATGCGAATGCAGCAAAATGTCGGTCGAAGCCGAGAGAACGCAGTATTGAGCCCTTCCATCAACCTTCGGTGCATTGCATAGGCTGTGAGTTACAGTGCAGTACAAGAACCCGAACAGAAGGAATCTTGCATCCAATGACCGGCATTCGGCTTGTCAGTCACAAGGAACTATTCGGGAACCTCCCAACGAACAAGAGAAAAAAAAAAAAGAGAAAAGACCCATTGTTCAAGGTGTCTCGATGTGAATACCGCCGAGCTGGCCGTTCTTGATTAGCGAGGTACAGTACCGGCAAACGGGTACATGTAGGGCCAGTGCAGTCGTGCGTGGAGCCATTCCCGACGGTGGAAGCGAAAAAAGAACGAAAAATATTTCCAAAAAAGCGGAGTTTCATGAGACGAGTGACTCTTCATCAATCCCGTGTAAAGGCCGTGACAGCGGAGAGTAACGGACGGTCACAGTCACACACACCCAGAAGGTGAATAAGTGGCTGCTAGCTCGGTGAGCTCGGGAATCCGGTCTCCATGGGCCGGCAATAACATGGCTATTACACTTACAATTACAGTAACAAGTCAGACTCGGCATCATCTTGAACCGATTTACAAGCCGCGTATCCGAGTCGGCTGAGTCTCGCTGTGATCACGGTTATTGATCTGCTGCGGGTATTCGGATCAGGTTGTCAGAAGTCTGTTTACACGAGAAATGCTACATACGTATCCACGGTACGGAATTGAACAGGGATAAAGAATAGGCTTCAATTGCGTGCCTGGAAACTAACGCAGCAGTGAGAGATGCCTAACGATTATCCATCCATGGAAACAGGCAGTCGTCAAAAGACAGAGTGAAATGGCCGGGCAACGCCATGGAATCGCGGGATAATTCCTTATGCGACGCAAGCGGAATTAGGTTGCCTGGTTGTTGTCGATACAGTAGCTCTTGGAAAGCTCCGTAGCCACAACGGTTCGGTTGTCTGTGTCAAAAAGCTTGGCTAGGTTGGCTGGCTGTAAGCTCATTATCGTTATCGTTAAGAGTTATGGTGGTGACGATTGAGAGGCTTTGCTTTGCTTCCCCTCATTGGTTGGTATGAAGCGTAACTCGGTGTTTAACTCGAACCCGACATGCATGGGGGCTGAAGGAGTGAAAGTCATCTTCACCTCAGCCCTACGATTGATACGTACGTATGTATTGTCAAGGACGTGGCCCGCGGGCTATGTCAGGACCCCGGAAAGGATGGGCTCTAAGTGGTTGCTCGTTCTCGCTCTCGCACTGAGTTGTCGTTGTCATCGAATAACCTCTTCGCATTATTACCCCTTTCGCAGGAATCTTTCACGGCTTGGCTACTGGGTTCTTAATGATAGTTTGACAAGCGAATGAGGCGGAGTTGGGACTCGACAGGGTACTCGATGCGAAGCGAAGAGGGAGACGCAATGCGGAGGTATTAGTCGACCACTATGTGAAACTGCCCTACATTAAGGGGTGCCCATTAATACCATCACGAGCTTGGCTCAATTGACAAGCGTTGCTATTTTTTAGTTTTTTAGTGTTTACTGTACTCTACCTCACCTCATAAGAAATTAGTGAGGCCAGTCAAGTTCGTTTTGGGGGGAAGGAACCCTTATGGGAGGTCATCCTCCTTGTCATCGTGACGGGGAATGAGAAACTCAACAAGGTACTGAACTGAAAAGATGGGATGGACGGCACGGACACGGGACGCAGGACAATGTCTTGGATTAGGAATTGATGGATGCATAGATCGAGTCTATTGTTACTATACAATAGACTGTTGCTGAGCAGCAGAACAAAGAGTCATCATGATAATTAGCTGGAGTTACAGTAGTAACAAAGGTGTCTCAACTAGAGAATTCATTCAAATCAAATCAAATCATTCAGTGACTGCATTAGATTCGAGTCATCGCCGGGTCGGAGCCTCAAACCCGATAGCGACAGGGCGTAATAACGATTAAACTTTACGGTACTTGGTGAGAGCCAGAGAGGTGCTGAGAAATCGCACCTGCGTTAGTGTCTGTCTCTCGCTGTAAGGAAGTATTCAGAAGGGCGACGCTTGTAAATCCATTCTCGGATTTGTCTTCTCCCTGGCGGAGGTAAACGGACATGGACAGAATCTAATCTCCAATTGGTCGAAAAGACAACGCTAAGGCATTCGGTTTCTAATCAAGCACCTACGCTCCGCTGACTGAACCGCCAAAACCAGCCTGCGATTATGAATCATTTTACGCCAGCCCTGTGCGAGATTGCAGACCAGCGAGTGCCATCCAATGCACTCTGCTTACAACGCTGGACTGCGTGTTGAGTTGGTATTGCGCAATCCGTGGAGAATAATGAACATGTTTGAGGCTGCTGGAGAATCATCCAAGGGAAAGGCAGACGGAAGTTGCAGTTACTGAGACACCAGTAACAAAAGAACATGGAAGAACCCAAGAAAAGTAAGGAAAACCTAGGATAAGAGCATAACGCATCACCCATTTCGGGTACATTTTGCGCGGACGGTACCTCTTCTGACCCCATAATCTGGCGGCCTAACCGAAGTACCCAGGCCCGAGCATTGACATGGGCCTCCGTAAGGTCCGCCAGGTCGGGGCCGTACAGAAGAACGTAGGCCTACGTGTCAAGCCGTCAGTTCATTTTTCAACGGTACCTGGATTCTCACATGGTCCATGCCCCGTAACAGAAGAAAAGACAAGACGGTCTAGTCTAGAGAGTTTCTATCCGTAAGCTTTCGCGGCTTCGCGGTGTCTAAGAGTCATCCGCTCACCCACACCACCCTTGTCACCATCGATCACTAAGCTTCGCACACCCCCCCGGACGGAACATGACAAGGAAGGGCATTTCTCGCACTCCTCGGGTCCGCGCGTGCAAAGTCCGCCAAGCGGCGTGTCGGGCATAACTGGTAATCCCCATGTCCACGCCCTTGGAGCCGTGAGACAACATGAAAAGTCCGTAGAGGATCAACTTGAGTTAAAAGATTCGCTTCCCCCCGTTCCTAGATCCAGATTTCCTCTCACAGCATCAGTTCAAAACACAAGCTTTCGAGATCATCATAACATCTCCACATCATCACTTCTGTTTCAGCTTATTTTCAAGGTACTCAGTTACTTACAACTAGTCCCTTATCACACAATCTATCAAGTCATTGTCACCATTTACCGAAACCCCCCGGCCGCTAATACAAGCCTGCCGCAATCGGGATTGTTGCCTTGACTCACAACATCCATCAATCCATCTATATACATATATCTAGCCGAGGACCCCTGGCTTCTTTCAACATGTCCACAACAACCACAACCACTTCTTCCATTCAAAGGCCAACTGCCTCCAAGACTTCTTCTCTCCGACAGTCCACACTCAAGAAGAACATGTCTATCACACAAACTTACTACCTCGCCCACAAGGCTCGGGCTAAGCTCTCTCGAGAGGCTGCCCAGCCCGATCACGACCTCCGTCTTCTCGTCGGCCACGCCAACCTCCTCGACTCTCTGATGCTTGAGCTTGCCGACGCTGAGCGCGAACAAGAACGCTGGTTCAACCAGTCCGTCCGAGGAGCCAACTCTCAGCAAGAACGACGAGTCCAGTGGGCCGATGAGGTTGTCCAGGAGGAGGACGAGGATGACTACGACTCCGACTCTTCTGACTCTGACGACTACGACTCTGAGGATGAGGACATTGAGATGTCCAACACTCCCTCTCTTCCCGCCAAGGCCATGAGCCCCCGAATCAGCCACATCGAGCTCGACGACGACATGGAGGAGGACGATCTCGAGGAGGACTACGCCCAGCTCGAGCTTGTTCGAACACCATCTCACTCCAACTCACCACCCGAGCTCCTTGTCGACCACGACTCAGACTCTTCCGACGAAGACTCCATGCCACCATCGCCCCCTCAAGCCATCCTCACTTTCAACGAGAAGGATGTCAAGGAGCAATCGCAACAACAACAAGAATCCAGTTCACTCTACGATGAGGAGTACTGCCTGCCAGCCCGCAACCCCGCGAGGCTTGTGTCGGCCATCTCGGTCTACTAAAGCAGGAGTCACTCCGACTCTTACCTCTTATGAATGAATTGTGATTTCTTTAGCGACTTGTTTCACATACAAAGCGATTCGGCGGGCATTACACATGGCGTTTTTTGTTATACAAAGGGATACCACACTTGGGATTTTGGGATACAGCAAAAAAAGCATTCAAAGGATACGACTTTTACGGTTTTTTTCATTGTGTTATTACAACAAAGACAGATTTTCACCACTCTATTATTATGACGGGAACAAAGAAGGAAAGGGAATTGTACCAGGCAATGAGGAATTGAATAACATCATGGTTGAGCGCCGCTCCCGATAAGAGGGTTGAGTGGCAGCTGAATCAGTTAGATAGTTCAAAAAAGACTTTTAAGAAGTCTAAAAACAAATAAGAAAACATTCAAAACAATCATATCATCTTTCTCTGCAAACTGTGAATCACATTCTGTTCTATTCAATATCGTGACATTTACCTCGGTCTTGGTGGTTTAGTTTACTTGTGTTAGCCGGGCCTTGACGCCATGGTCGCCGGCCGATAGTCACCGGGAATCCCTTATCAGCGGCGAAAATTCTTTGTCCGCGAGTCGTTGTCGTTATCGGGATCGGGCTCAACGCAAAGCCGATCGAAAGAGGAAGAGGGGAGTGTCCTGTCTTGTCTCTGGACCAACGAGCGGCGCAGGACTAACGGCGTGCGGCGCTAGAACGACGCCCTTGCTTCGATACGTTACTCATGGTGAATGATTCATCAGCGAGGCCCGCCCATCATGAAAACTCAAGTTTGACTGTTGACCTTGACGTCCCACCCATCAGGGTCAGGGTTAGAGATCACCAATCACGAGTTCATATTGAGACACAACGGTCGGTAGTTTTGTCAGCGGAGTTATGATCAAATCTTGACAGAGAAAGAGAATTATCATGACAACGCTGTTTCGGAGCTTACAAAGCCCCGGTAACATTTTCAATAGAATACTTGGAATGGCTGGCTGACAGGCAGGGAACGTCAACGCCAGGGCGCAAAAACCATGGTCACTGCTCAACTCAACTCAACTCAACCCAGTTACAACTTACAAGCATCTTTATTAGCTTGGCGAAGAAGAAAAGAAGGCAATAAAATTGAAGATGGCGAAACCGCCATTTCTTCGTTCTGTCCGTCCTCGTCTTCCGCCTTTTTGTCCGCCATTTCATCGGGCTCACTTTTTTGCTTTGGCATTTGCTTTTGCATATTCGCCCCTTGTTGACGAATTAACTAACCCTTGGCAGAAGTCACAGCCCGAATAATTCAATATTTTGTAACAGATTTTTGGATCTTCCGCTAGTTCATGATTCCCTCTCCACCAGCCATGCGCCGCATTGAGCCGAAAACTGGAGACGCTGTGGATATCTTTTTCTTGTTCTTTGGTGTTTCCATCAAGAGGCTGAAAAAACTCTTCGATGAAATCGTGAATCCTCAACCAGGATTGGCCCCATGAACAAATTGTGAAGTCAAGGGGGGCGTGGGATGGACTTCTATCTCCGCTTTCACATTTCAATTAATTGAAATTGTTTAAAGAAAACTCTTTACGATGGGACGCGACTCCATTTCTTGGGCAGTGACAAGCCCAATATGGATTCACATGTCTAGGATGCATCACGATGAAGCGGGACGGGACAGAAGGGACATGAATTTTCTTTTTTCTTCTTGACTTATCCTTCAGATCGTAGACACGTCTCCTAGTCGCTGTCCACTCGGGAGTCTTGATTGCCATCTTGGCTTTTGAATTAGGTACAGGGCTTCTTTACGGCCACAGGCCCCATAATCCCAGGCACATACTACCATGCAAGGGCACGTTTGTTGGCACCGGCGTTGTTCGTTCTAAGCTGAACTGTTCCATCTGGTTTACTGACCGCTTGGGCGTGTCGTTGCTCACCGATGGCTGACCTGGCAGCGCAGTAGAAGCAATGGAACCTAACCTAACAATTGGAAGCTCCGTATGTGCCTTTTTTAACGGGACTTGCAGTTGAGGGGAAACGGAACGCTTAAGCCTAGTAGCCCTAGTGGTACCTAGCTAGCACAGCACAGCCAGCCCCCTTACTCTGTGCTTTACTGTAGATGGCTTGATCAAGATACCGGTATGGATTGTAAAGGGCGGTAAAGGGTGAATTGTCAACTATCGTACCTAAGCGAACTTTGTTGGCTATCGTTTCACTATCCATTTATGCATGGCTTCTTTCTCAACAAGGTCAATTACCATTTTTGGTGAGGAGGGGAAGAAAGGACCTGATCTTCGTGTTCGGAAGTCTATCCTATCAGCAGCTAAAAGTAGATCTTTCTAGGGAAGGGGTTGGGGGGGAAGACGGAAACTGGGGTTGGAGATGATCTGTGTCCTGTCCTGTGATCATAAGATTGATAAGGCCAGAGACAGCCCAGACCAGCAGACCCCCTGTTCCTGTTTATCGATGCGGCATACGCGTACATGCCTATGGAGTACCTGCAGTGGTATCCGTAGTATGCCCCTTAACTCTATGCTTCTAGTAATAGTAATCGTATCTAGGTACGATGGATCGAATGGTGAAGTGTCAGAAACTCGTAACATACGCGCAAGCGAATAATTACACCGAATGCTCATTACTATTGCATCGCATCGCATTAATTCCCATGGGTCTAGGTTGCGTGTTCACTGTATCAGATCAGATCTGAAGCCGCCCTTCCCCAGCATAAATACGACGGTACGATACCGATAGTGCACAGCCCCTTATCGATAAAAATCGGCACAAGGTCCGATGCGGCACCACGGACGTCGTATCGGCCGGCCTCTGAGCGTTGAGTCGGGTCATGAGACTCTCGTGACCCACATGCTTCCGCGTTCCCCCCCTCCGAGTACCCGAGCACACCCGGGCCGGAAATCGGACACCAGGAACAGGTCAGAGAGAACACACAGGGTCGTCCGCTAGTTCTTACTGGTGCGTCAGAATTGATACGGGGGTGTCTGGTGTTGTAGAACGAGAATCTGGGGAAGGAGGCCTGTGTCACCGAGCTGAACCTGTTTCTTCTTGCCGAGAGTCTCGGCAGAGAGGTCTTGTTCACCGGGAGTACCTTGAGAGCATGATAAACCTACTGCGGTCTTTCTGTTAGTTCGCGGTGCCGTCAATGCCGCTGGGGATAGTGCAGGGGTCTGCTGATCATGGTAGTTGCACACTCTATTCTATCGGCTTTGACAATCTGTCTCTGGAGGTGAGCTGCTGACCTGCCCTTCGCGGATACGGCGCCGTACAAGAGAGAGTGAGGACGATAAGATGGCGGCTTAGCATAGGTGAAGATGACCGATTAGCGGGTTCTTATCAAGTCCGCCTAGTCACATTCACAATGCGGAGAAGCCTTGTCTAAGCATTATCTCTTGGCTGTCTCATGCGCTGATCTTGTCTACATATTGGTGTTTCTAGTCAGCATACACTGATAGTAGAAACTCTACGCTGTTGGTTGTTGGTTGCTGATGCTAATGCTGGCGGTTATAGCGGTGATATTAGTGTTTGGCATAACCTCCGATATAGGGACGTGGGATTTGAGAGCTCCTCCGGTCGAAAGCCTGTAATAGTAAGGAGTAAGCAGCAAGCCTCCTCCGCCAAATAAGCCTCGGACTTTTGGATGATCCAAATGCAGATCTTCCCTTCAGGTTTTGAGGCTCTAGAAATTGCGGAGAGTGGGAGAAGGCGAAAGTCCGAAGTCCGTGGATGCAGTAGAATTCGGGGACCTCAGATGGAAGGAGCACGGACCATGTGATTATCGGTACGTCATTTTGTAACTTTTCGCAAATCAATTCAACGCTCTCTTCGTAGAAACGAGAATTCTTATTAAAACCACTCACTCCGTCACAATGCGACTTCTCCCGAGAAGAGCCCTTGCTCACGATCTTTCTCCGGGCTTCACAATATGCCGCAATAGTACCAACCGGCTGCATCGGAGACAATTTGCGACTTCGCTTTCCCCTCCACCTCCGCCTGCTTCGGGACTCACGGCTTTGACATCACGACGACTCATCTCTGTCACTGGACCCGATTCGGCAAAGTTCTTACAGGGGATTATCACAGCTAATGTCACGACCAAGGAGGGATTGCCGAGGAATGATGGGTTCTATGGTGCTTTCTTGACTGCGACGGGAAGAGTTTTATATGATGTCTTCGTTTATCCTAATCATAATGCGCCGGGAGCCTCACCCGAGGAGCCGGCGTATCTGATCGAGGTTGACTCCGATCATGCATCAACGTTGGCAAAGCACATCAAGCGATACAAGCTTAGAGCCAAGTTAACAGTTCGTTTACTGGGAGAGGATGAAGCGACTGTATGGCATGCATGGGATGACTCGAATGGTGCGGATTGGGACTCAATCGTCAAGACGGCGAATCTATCTCTGCAAGATCCACGAGCACCCGGGTTAGGATATCGACTTTTGCAGCTGGACCAGAATGCGCCCCAGGTGGACCTTGAAAAGACTGCCGAGGAAGCTTACACGATACGACGGTACCTCAACGGTATTCCCGAAGGGCAGGATGAAATCTCTCGGGAACACGCTCTTCCCCAGGAAACAAATATGGACATCATGAACGGAATCGACTTTCACAAGGGCTGCTACGTCGGCCAGGAGCTCACCATCCGCACAAGACACCGTGGTGTAGTCCGCAAGCGAATTCTCCCATGTGTAGTTTACGAAAAGGAACACGCACCCCCAACAACACTACAATATCATGCCGACGGCGCAGCCTCGTCCCTCGAGAGCGTAACTGCGGACATGATTCCACGGGACACAAGCATCGGACGGTTCGAGAAGCGAGGACGTAGCGCGGGCAAGTGGATCAAGGGAGTGGGCAATATTGGCCTCGGGCTGTGTCGTCTGGAGATCATGACTGATGTGACACTACCGGGCGATGCGGCTTCGGGGGCGTTTAATCGTGAGGATGAGTTTGTATTGGACTGGGGTGAGGAGGAGAGCCGAAATAGAGTCAAGGTAAAGGCTTTTGTGCCGGAGTGGTTGAGGAAGGGGCTCGATGCTGAGAATTCAAGGCATCAGAAGTAGAGACGACCAGAATTAGATCTGGGGTGTAATATATTGTATCAATGTAAAAAGAAACCACGAAGACACAACTTGTATGCATACATACCTTTATGCCTGTGCCACGATGTACCCGAAAGTATCTACTATATTAATAAGAATCTTGTACTTCTCTGCAATCTAGGACCAAGGTACTTCGAGCTTGAAAATAGTCTTGTATCACACTACCTAACAAGGCGAGGTCATTAGGTTGCAGTTTACTTTCTCTACTTATCATTGGCTGAGACAACTTCGTGCCTGGAGCATAGTCGGTACTCTGAGCGACAGACAGCCCCAGGCTGCCTTAGCCCAATTAGTTCTTGCAATGAATATATATGTAATCAGGAACCAAGGCGCAAGCAGACATAGCCATCTCCTAACGAGTAATAATTATCTGGCACAAAGTCGCCGTGCCTGAAGCGTGCAACCATCTCGCAGTTATTGTGGCTGTGTCGTAGGTATTGCATATGCCGAGATAGGGCGCTTACCAACAAGAGCAGAGAAGACTTGTGCTACATGAACCATCTTCAGACAGGGTTTAATTAACCGTAAGCCTTCAGCCCTAGGCATCATTAATAGATGTAATGAAGGCATTGGTCAAAGAGAATAGAACAAGGTATGGAACTTTAGGCTCCGTGTGGATCACTACGCTTTCTTTATACAAGGGTCAAGTCGCTGTATTTTCCCTTATGCGGGTTGTCAGCAATAGGCAGTAGAGGGAGGCTGTAAGCCCCCAACTATACGATAATCCTCCAACACGAGGGCCAGGGTCAACAACTTCATTCGCGGATTTAAAGGCAAATTTACTGATCAGACTGAAGTCGGCCCAATTGAATGTCAAGAATACGAACTGTAGCTTATTATTTGGCCTTGGATCGTCACTCAGAAAAGTGTCTAATTTCGCAAACTCCCCGTCAGCCCTGTAATGCTACAACGAAGAACAGGGGGACAAAGTCTTGGCCAGTCGCTTAATTTATCTTTTGGATGGCAAACTCTCTTAAGCTGACATTTGACGCCTCTGTATTGCATCTGTGAATAAATATTATTTAAATCATTTTTCACCTTGGACTTTTCAAAGAACTATACCCTTTTCACCGTATCTTCAGCCCCCAATATGACTATAGAACCCACACCGAAAACAATCAAGCGATTGATTGCTTGCTGCGATGGAACGTGGATGGATGGTGATAAAGGCTACCAAGAGCCTGGTTTGTTCGAGAAAGAAGGTTCTCTTCAGATTCCGTCCAACGTCACACGTATCTCGCGTTGCTTTGAGAAGAGATGTAGTGATGGAAAGCTTCAGGTAGTCAACTACGAGTCAGGAGTTGGCACAGGGAGCAATATGCTGGATAGCATCACTGGAGGTGCTTTTGGTCAAGGTCTTGCAGAGGTACGTTAAGCTTAGAGAAGGATAGGGTGATAACTAATCATTAATATAGCGTATGAGAGAAACATATTCATTTATATGTTCCAACTATATGGATGGCGATGAAATCATCCTCGTGGGCTTCTCAAGAGGTGCATTCACAGTCCGTTCAGTGGCCGGTATGATAGGCAATCTAGGTCTACTCACTCGTGAAGGCGTAGAGTTCTTCTATCCTATCTTCAAAGACATGCAGCACTGGATGGACGATGACTACGAAGACCCATTCCCAAACATTCCCTTTCCTGACAAACCCAAAGGAAAAGATGCCGCAGACAAGTACAGAGCTCGCTTGGAGCAACTCGGCTATACTCGCGTGAGACGCGAACAAGGAGACGAGATCATCACAATCAAGGCGGTGTGTGTTTGGGACACTGTTGGTAGTCTTGGAATTCCCAAGATTGCCTGGTTCGACAAGCTCGGTATCAAAATTGATAATGACGAATAAGTCTCCCTTTCTTATACTCAAGAAACCGAAATGCTGACCAGCTTAGCACGTTTAAATGGCATGATACAAATCTTTCAGATAGAATAGAGCATGCTTTCCAGGCTCTCGCTCTGGACGAGACTCGTTCGCCTTTCCAACCAGCAGTATGGGAGAGACTCCCTGAAAACAGATATACCACGGATCTGAGGCAGGTCTGGTTCCCTGGTAATCATGCTAACATTGGCGGTGGATGGGAGGACCAGGGTATCGCAAATTGTACACTCGCATGTAAGTTGATCATGTTCATTTACTCGAAAATAAGTTTATACTGACTCATTATTAGGGATGATGGACCAACTGGCCTCTATCGGTGTCGAATTTGACCTGCCCTCTTTAGAGCGGTGCTTCTTTCTGAATGTCAAATTCTACCACAAAACACCTTCAAAACTAAGCATCAAGTCAAGAAAGAAGAAAGAGAAGCAAAAGCTTCGTCAATGGGCAGTAAACCCTATATACGAGAACAACCGCCCAATAAGACCATGGGGATTGGGAGCAATCAACAAGTCACCAGGCTTCCTCTACAAACTCTCTGGCCAAACGATTCGAACACCAGGTCTATATAGACCGACCGACCGCAGGGCAAAATGCGACAAGTCAAGATTTCTTCTGGATACAAATGAACGAATACACAGCTCAGTGAGGATCCGACTTGCGTGTAAAGGACTCGCTTTGGATGATGAATATGTCTGGGACTGTCCGGCGTTATTGGATAACTGGAAACTCAAGCGCACAAGGGAGAAATATAACGATCCGGTACCGCAGTGTCCAGGATGGTGCCCAGACGCTGCAAAAGATAACATGGGCCATCCTAATGAGTGGTCAAAGGGGAGATGGGTATGGGAGTATGTTGGCAAGGACAAGAATGGCCCTGCTGATAAGAGGCAAAGGGTTATGGTAGAAGAACCGTTGGGACCATATGAGCGATATTTACTCAGCTTGTCAGCTGGAACTCCGAACGTTTATCATTTTGCAGATACGGTTGACTTTTAGAGCTTTTATTATGGGGGGCGATATACAGCATCTGATGGTGGTAGCTAGAGGCTGGTTCATGAGGAGGAGGAGGCAAACAAAGACACAGTTTTCGACTCATGATAAATACATATTTTAATGCTATAATTAATTCAAGACAACATGTTCCCCCGACATGCCCAACTCTAAATTCTTTGGTGTTGAGAAGCTGGTGAAGTATACAGTTTAAGGTCACGTGCTTTCGTGATGCGACAAGAAGTTCAAGCTTGTGCCAGCCAGAAATCTGATCTTTAACTTCTTTTCTTGACTCGCATTCTCTGGCCAAATTACACAGGCCACTCATCATATCCACGATCCAACATGTCAGACTCAAAAGCAGCCGATCTGCTGCAATATGCGCAGGAATACGCCTCCAAAGATGAAGACCTTTACGAACTTCTCGGTGTCGATGCCCTCACCCCCAAAGAAGAGATTCACCGCGCATGGCGAAAGCGCTCTCTAAAGTACCATCCCGATAAAGCAGGCGACAACTTCGATGCAGCAGTATGGGAAAAGTTCGAACGCGCCCGCGATATCCTGTCCGATCCTGGGGCGCGCGGCGCCTACGACAGCGCCATCAAGGCTGCCCTCCTACGAAAACAAGAGCGCGAGACTATGGATAAGAAGCGCAAAGCGCTAGTCGACGATCTCGAAGCCCGAGAGAATGCGTGGAAGGTTCAGCGCGAGGAGAAAGAGCAGCGAGAGAAGGATGAGATTGAGAAGGAAAGGGCACGACTGGTTGAACAGAGGCGTGTGCGCGAGGAGGAGGAACAACGTCAAGCCGCTGCTGCGCAAGAAGTCGAGGATTTGGCCGAAGCAAGGCGGCGTCTGAAGGAAAAGAAAGAGAAAAAGAAGCAGGATGAGGCAAGGGAGAAATTTCTGCGCAAGTCACGGATGGCTGCAGAGACTACTGATGGCAAGCCAGCGCCTGGCCCAGTTAACGGTGCCATGAACGTACCAGGAGATTACTCGGTCGACTTCGGAACAGAACAAAAGCTTTACTGGGAGTTGGTTTGTGACAAGCTACGTGCTGTCCAGGCAGTCAAAAACCTACAACAGAACCAGGCAACGCCAGAAGAATACCAACAAGCGGAGCAGGGCCTACTTCAAGCAAAGACGAGGATCCACCAGGCCGAAGTACGCTTCGCCGAGCAGGCATCTGTTTCATGATTTGGAGTGTTTTGTGAAAAAGGAATTGGAGTTAGGTCGGTAGCATTGTCTATACGCCTGGATGGCGTTTCTATCTTATGCTAATACCATGCATTTAGAATCATGATTCACTGTCAAGTCGCAATATCTTGACGGCATTCATTCCCATGACGTTCTCGCAGTCCCCAGTGCCTTGTCCAACTGCATGAGCAACAGCCTCTGCATTGAGACTCACACTCTCCCATTCACCCTGCTCGTCGCTTGTAAGAGGCGGAAAGAAGGGATGATCGGTGCCAAACATGAGTCTGTCCGCACCGCTAGCCTGGATGGCTGCTTTGAGGCCAACTTCAGAGTAGATGACTGCATCGAGATATATCTGCTCTTTCAGTACGTTCCACACTGTTCGACGGTCCTTTCCAAGTTTTCCTTCTCGGAGAAGTTGCCCATCATGCACGATGCAGCTTTCAATTCTGCCGGCAAGGAAAGGAAGCGTTCCGCCACTGTGGGCGAGGATCATGCGCAGCTCTTTAACTTTGTCGAACACGCCGGCCAAGTACATTCTGGTAACAGCAATTGTCGTCTCCATTGGAAAACCAAGAGCTAAGGGGAGAACGTGGCCATATTCGGCGCTTGCCCGAGGACCCCAGACATCATTGGGAAGGCCGTAGTGGGGATGCAGGAACACAGTCAGCTGTGTTTGTGCGAGGGCCTCGAAAATGGGTAGGAGATCTGGATCATCCAGGCCTTTTCCAAGCCCTGAAGTGCCCAAGATGACACCTCTGCAATACTTGAGTGTCCGGAGGTACTCTATGCACCCTAAGACGGCTTCCAAGCTCGCTGTCAAGGGTAGTGTGCCGAAGAAGAAGAGCCTTCCTGGATGCTCACCGCACATGCGTGAGAACTCTTGATTGACAGACTCTGCTATAGGACCAGACTCGGAGGGGGTTAGAAAATCCAGCCATGGGTTCGCTAGAGATATGACAGAGATGTCAATCTTGTGCGTATCCATGAAGTGTATCTTTTGGGCGAGCGATGCATAGTGAGATGTTAGAGGTCGACCAGGTGGTTTGGCTTCAGGATCCTTTGTTGCTTCTTCTAAAGCCTTGACTTCTGCCTCTAGAAGGATGAGTCTAGGATCGGATGCTTGAGGAAACTTGCGAACGAGGGGGATCTTTGAACGGGATTCCAGAATTTGGATGTAAGAGGGAGGGTACATGTGCGTGTGGATGTCAACCACGCGTGTTGAGGAGGACGACATGCCGCTTAGATGATAGAAAGGTTGACGGTATTGGATATGAGAGTTTGAGACCAGATGAGTTGAGACTCGTGAGAAGATGCAAAGCACAAGCCAAGCCAGAACAACAACAGCTTAGACCTTCCCAACCCCTCCACGTTTGCCTGGCGGGACAAGCCGTGGCACAGCTTCAGTACACCCTCATTATCTCGCGGGACAAGCCGCAACGTTGCAGATCAACAGGTTGCGTTGCCCAACTTGAGAGACGCGCATGAATTACCCCGCATTCATGATCGTTATCACACTTCACAACCTGATTATGTACGTCGTATCGTCTAGATACAGCTTATCAGCGGCTGTTGAGACTGGTACAACGGCGGCGGCGCCACGCTTATCAGCTTGTGTTAGAAGCTTTGTGATGGTTGTATATAACCGGATGATGTCGCAGTATGGCGGCGAACCTATAGATTCTCGTAACATGACTTTGTCTTGACGCTGCAGTTCTTTAGCATATTTCATTCCGTCTCTTGATCAGATATCGAAACCTAGAGACAATATCATCTAGTATCATGGCTTCTGATCTTGCTGTGAGCAAGGAGGGTCTGTCAATCCCTGTAGGTCAACCCAGTTGATGACAATAGTTCCTATCCAATTGACATTGTACCTAAAGCTTATTGATTTCTCCCGCTTCCTTACCGGGTCCCCTTCAGAACGTAATGATACTGCAAATGCTATTCTCCACGGTTTCAAAACCGCTGGCTTCATCTACCTCAAGAACCATCCCATATCCCCAGAAGATCTAAAACATGCATTCGATCTGTCTGCCCGCTGGTTCGACCAACCTGATGAGACTAAGATGAAAGTCGTCTGGACAACACCAGAAGCCAACAGAGGCTACTCAGCTCCTGGTCGAGAGAAAGTTACTCAACTCATGGACACAGCCGAAGTTGAGAAAGTGCGCGCTGCTTTGCCAGATATAAAAGAGAGTCTTGAGGTTGGTCGTGAAAACGAAGCTGGACATCCAAACCAGTGGCTTGAAGAGAGTGGCGACATGGTAGGCTTTCGAAAGGATATGCTTGGGTTCTTTGAGCAGTGTCGTCAGTTGCATGTTGAGGTTATGAAAGCTATCGCCGTGGGTATGGGACTTGACGATAGTTTCTTTGATGGGTTTGTTGATGTTGGGGATAATACACTGAGGCTGTTGCATTATCCTGCTGTTCAGTCTAATGTTTTCAAGATGAATCCAGGTACTGTCAGAGCTGGAGAGCATAGTGTAAGTGACTCCTGCTATTCCTAACGCCAGATAACTGACAAGTCAGGACTATGGTTCAATCACTCTACTATTTCAAGATGCTCGAGGTGGACTACAAGTCAAAAGCCCAACAGGCCATTTCGTCGATGCAACGCCGATCGAAGGAACAGTAGTTGTTAATGCTGGTGATCTGCTCGCTAGATGGAGCAATGATATGATCAAGAGCACTATTCACAGAGTCGTCGAGCCTCCTCAGAAAGAGGCTGAGTCTTACCCACCTCGCTACAGTATTGCGTGAGTATATGCATCGCTAGGAAGACGTAGACTAATTTGTTGGCAGATACTTTTGTAATCCCAACTTCAAGAGCTTTATCGAGGCTATTCCGGGGACTTTCGAAACGGAGAAGGATAAGAAGTATGAGGGTATCAACAGTGGTGATTATCTTGTTCAAAGATTGACTGCTACGTACTGATTGAGTTAATCTGAGTTTTTCCTTCGATTTCTATGATAATGAAATGTTTTGTTTGTCTGTTCTCGATTTGTTGGGATATGCATGGTCAGCAATGGATCTCTGGCTCATGTATCAGAGGCTGTTGTAGTAAAGCCTCACTATAATCGGAACAATTTAAGCGGTCGGGGCCTTCAATTAAATCTTTAGAGTTACGAGATACGGCGTGCCTTTACCCTGAATCCATGCTATATCCATTATATCTTTACAAGGTAGAATAGAAAGAACAACATTGGCTGTACCTGAATTACAGTAAGAAACTCCCCTATCCCGTCCCCACCAAAACCACTGACAGCATGACGTTAAGCCCAATCGGGAAGCTAGCTACCTCGAAAGTAAAATGGTCTCCTCAACATCTATTTTCCATCTTGAATATCTTTACATATACAATCCTCCAACCTTTCGCCCAATTGACACTCTTCCGGTCAACTCTGAATCTTACAGCCTTTGTATCCCCGATATATACTCCTCAAAACTCGACAACAATGGCTGCCGACGCTGCTGCCGCGACCAAGCGGCCCCTGAAGCCTGCCTCAACCGCTAACAAGGCCTATCTGATCTTCTATAACTCCGTCTCGGCTCTGCTATGGTCTGTCGTGCTCGGCCGTACTGTCATGCTGCTCGGTCTTCATGGACCTGAGTATGTTTACCCCAATGTTGGCGAGTTCACAAAGTGGACGCAGACTTTGGCTGGTTTGGAAGTGATGCACTCGCTGCTCGGTATGATCTACTTCTATTGTCCCTCTAAAGTTGGAATATTATACTGATATATACTTCTTATATAGGCGTCGTTCGCGCTCCTCTGTTCACTACGCTTATGCAAGTCTCCTCGCGCTTCCTCCTCGTCTGGGCCGTCGTCGACATGTTCCCCTTCCTCGCTCTCTCGCCTTTCTACTCGTCCATGCTCATCGCCTGGTCCGTCACCGAGATCATTCGCTACTCCTTCTTCGCCCTCTCTCTGTCCGGTCTTCAACCCAAGTTCCTTACTTGGTTGCGCTACAACACCTTCTTTGTGCTCTACCCTGTTGGTATCTTCAGCGAATGCTGGCTCATCTGGTTGGCCACCGCACCTGCTGGCCACCTCAATGAGCTGTACAAGTATGCTCTGCAGGCTATCTTGGCTATCTACGTTCCTGGTAAGTTTGGAAATTCTAGATCTTGGGACTTAAAACTAACTGTATACAGGATCTTATGTCTTGTACTCGCACATGATGGCACAGAGACGCAAGGTTATGCGCAACATGAAGACCCAGGGCCAGAAGGCTCAATAGATGGAACTCATGAATGATATATAAAAAGGAGACTGAAAAAGACAGTCAGGTCAGTTGATTGACCATTGAGATAATGATGTGGGCCATCTACCTGGTCCCGTGAAATACTACCTTGGTGTAATACATAGTCTAGAGAAACCATCTAATTGAAAAAAGAAAACATGTTAAATAGTCTCCTCTATGTCCGCATCTTTAGTCGCAGGCTTATCTTCAGCAGGAGGCTCATCCTCAGGTGGTGATGCCTCCTTTAGCAAGAGCGGTTCTTCGACACTTGTCTCATACCAGTCGTTCTGCAGCCAGCTGTGAATCACTCCGGTAGCATCCTGGGTCAACTTGTTATATCCTGGGTTCTCTCTTGGAGTAAACATATCTGCGTTTTCGTTAGTATGTCAATCAACTCTTCACACCGTGTCTGAACTTACTCATGTGTGCTCCAGCCTCGTCTGTCGCCTTGTCGTTGACAGCTTCCTTCCACACTCCTCCCGGCTGCTTCTTAGGAAGATTGCAGAATGTCCGGTCTTGACCCAGAACTGTCCCGACCACGTTAACCTGCTTCGCTGATGCCGCCTTGCCAAGACGAGTGTACAAATTCGCAAACCCAACGTCGAGCTCCTGGCGGAGTTGGAGAAGACAGGCAACACGTTTGCGGAGTTCTTCTCCTCGAGCGAGACACCCCACGAACTCAAGATGTGAAGACGCCCAGGACCAGCCCTCACCCAGTTGGTCACGCTTCATCCATGCAGCTGCCCCTCCTGCGGCCACCGCCCCAGCAGCGCCGGCGTACATAGCCATCTTACCCCATCTCTGCCACTGATTACCACCAGATCCTGTAGGCGCGGGCAAAGCGCCGGCTGTCTTAGGAAGAGCGGGAGTTGTAGAAGGCGAAGCAGCTTGTTTGGCGCCCCAGAGCGATGCCCCTAGCCCGCTGAGCTGTGAGATGGCGCCCATAGCTTGTGAAGCAGTTTGATACTGATCCTCTGCGCCGTGGGCTACTACGCCGGGAGAAATGCCCAAATAGGGAGTATCAAAGGCGAGAACACCCTGGATGTAGGGAAACATCAGAGAATTGAAGCTGGGCGTTTCAGACTTTTGAATGCCGTCTTCTGTATAGATGGGCTTCTCCGAGGCCAAGCCGATAAGCATCTCAGCCGCCACGATGCCACCCATGGAGTGGCCGATGAGAATGGTGCGTACTGAAGGCTCTATTGTGGGAGATGGAGTACCAGCTGCCACTTCCATATCGATGACTTTATTCTGTAGCCTAGGAGCAATGATATTAATGGATATTGTTGAGATACTGACATTGGACGGATACATACCAGTCACGAAAGCGACTCACACAGCTACCCAGATCTCCACGAGTCTCATACTTGGGATAAACAATCGCCTCAACATTGATCTTTGGCAGAGCCTCTCTTACCAAGTCGCGCAAATCCTTGGTGAACTGATAGTCGACTCCAAAAGTGTCCTCGCCGCCCTTGATCAACGTCAGTTATGGCTGATTAAGACTATCGCTATGACCATGACAAGGCGGGGGAGGGGCAAACGTACTTTGAAGCCATGAATAAAACAAAGAAGTAAAGTCTTCTTCATCGTGAAGTCTTTTCCATCTAACCGGATATAGCAAAAACGAAATGTCACTTGAGGTTTATGCTTGTTTGTGGTGTTGAAAGTGTGGCGAATGAAGACAGTTCTAAGTTTAACAGTAGGAACTGAGATGAGCAAAGACCAACCTCAGACACCTGACTTGGTTGATGTGACTTGAACTGTCTGTCACAGTTATCTACAAGAACTTACACAACATCACTTCAAAACTGTTCTCTAATTATGCTGCTTGAAATAAAATGAAAGTGACAAAATGTCAAGCTTCTATTAAAATACATCCTACTAATTTATCTAAACACTGAATGCAGCTGCGCCGTCCCTCTGCAGGCTCGACGCACTCCAAAGTCATTATCTGGCAAACCCATCAGAGAGCTCCGGATCATGCTTCTTTATGGTATTGGTTCCCACTATTTCCTTCCTTCTTTCTTTCTTCGCTTCTTCTGCTCCTGACCGCATGTTTCTTTAGTGACACCTATCCTGCCCAACGCCATTGCATACATCATCAAACAATCGCCTCCACGGCGATGCAAATTCAGAGGTCCTTTTGCGACCCTTCCGGATTAAGGTAAGGGTGTTGTGCTTTCTCAATAACACGTCTTTCATTCCTCGTCGCTTTGTGCGGCAGTGCTGCCGCCGTTTGCTTCTTTTGCGCTACTCGAAATCAACTTGATGCGAGTGCCGCCAGGTTGAGGTGTGCCGCCACTGCCAGAGGGCGCCACTGAACCGTCCTTGGCCCCTTCTTCAAGTTCCTGAAGTTCAGGATGAGCCGCCAGTTCTTCTTGGTACTTGGAGTTGAAGAATTCCTATTAAAAATTAGACACTATCGACAAACATGATTAAAACAAGGAAAACTTACGTTCATGATCTTAGCATCCTGATACAGAATGCTTCCGTCCTCATTGTACGTTTGGCAGTTGCGGATCATCAGCTCGATGTCTTTTCGCATTGCGCTCAACGAAGTGTACTCCTCCTTCTTAATCCGTGTCTGAATCTGGTTCATGCAGATGGGATTCTGGATGATGAGGTAGTAGTCGGCGTAATCGCGCTTGGGTGGCAGTTTGATAAAGGGTCCAATGATAAGGCGCTTGCCGGGATCCGAGTCATCATCCTCAGGAGGCTCGATATCGTCCACCTCCAAGTCCATGAGACCATCGTAAAGATTACGGAGGCTCTTCTGTAGCACTTCTCGTTGATGGGGCGGCAATCGTGACTCTAGGCTAACCTTACTAGGTCGTCCTTGAGGTCCACGTCGCTTCTTGGGAGGCGGCTCATCATTGCCCTCTTCGGCCTTGCGTTTCTCATTCTTGCTGCCTGGTTTGCGCCCTCGCTTCTTGGGGGTCTCGATTTCCTCAGTGCTTGCTCTACTGCCTGAAGGTGATTCATCCATCGAGTTCAAAATCGCGGATTTCTTCAAGCTTTTGTTGTCCCGTCTGTCCCTACGAGCCTGTTTACGAGCAGCAGCCGCTTCAGGAGAATCATCGTCGTCATCCACTGCCATGAGCCATTGCTCTTCGGTCAGACCATCGTCATACTTGACCTTGGTACGTTCACGAGCACCACGGCCCAGTACCACATCCTCAGTCTCGTCTGAGATAGGGTTGCCCTCGTTCAAATAAATATCAGGCAATTCATCCTCACCCATAAGTCGAGGCTTGGTGCCTGGTCCGGTGCCGTAGGGAGAAGTCTTCATCCTCTCTTCGTCCAGTTTTTGGAAAACGGTTATCTCGTCGTCGCTACGTGCGAGCAGCATGTTGAGCTCGTCGTCCTCCATCTCATCCTGTTCACCGGATTCGGCCATGTCGGCAGTCTCCAGCAGCGTTCGAAGCATGGCATCACGGTCGGTTTCTGATGATTTGTTATCGAAACGACCGGCCTGAATGACCTTTCCATCCATGTCCAACTTGAATCGTGCTCGCTCGAGAATCTTTTCTTCAACCGAGTTGGAACTGATGAGTCGCAGAATTCGGACTTCGTTCTTTTGACCAATACGATGGGCACGATCCTGAGCCTGCAAATCTTGATGGGGATTCCAGTCAGAGTCGTAGATGATGACCGTATCGGCGGTTTGCAAGTTGAGACCCAATCCACCAGCACGGGTCGAAAGCAAGAACATGAAGTACTTGGAGTCTGGGGCATTGAATTCCCTAAGCAAGTCGGAACGCTCGTCGGATTTGGTCGTACCATCCAATCGAAGATATTCCACTCGCCTATACCGAAGGTAGTCTTCCATGATATCCATGATAGCTGTCATCTGGAAGAACATGAGGACTCGATGACCAGTTGCTTGGTACTTGGGCAAGATTCTGTCAAGCAACTCAAACTTGCCGGCTGTTCGCCACAACAGATCATTGCTGATGTTAAGAGGATTCATGACATTTTCCACAACGTCGAACACGAATGGATGGTTGCAAAGCTTTCGCAGCTGCATAATCATGTTGCTGAGTCCACGAGCACCTGTCTTACCACCCTTGCCATCACTAACGACAAGCTTGTTGTGGGTAACCATCTGTTTGTAAAGTTTAGATTGGAGCGCAGAGAACTTGCACTTGATGACCTTTTCTGTCTTGTCGGGAAGATCCTTCTCGACATCCTTCTTCAGACGACGCAGAAGGAATGGTCGCAGAACCTTGTGGAGACGCCTGATAACAAGGATTTGTTCTTCTTCTGTAAGCTCCATCTTGTCCTGTCCACCTGTGTTGGCAAAAGGAGTGTTGAACCATTCATCGAAAGTCGTTGCAGATTTAAAGATGTTTGGCAAAACAAAGTTGAGCATGGCCCACAGTTCCGACAGATTGTTTTGCAGTGGTGTACCAGTGAGAATAAGCCGGAAACGAGTATGGTAGTACTGCTGAATGGTGTAGCTCAGCTTGGAGTTGGAGTTCTTCATTCGGTGACCCTCGTCGATAATCATGTGGAACCACTTGATCTTGCTGAGAATAGGACGGTCTTTGATGATGTATTCGTAGGTTGTGAGCAAGACCTGGAACCCGCCTTGTCGGATCCTATCCTGATGCACCTTACGAGCATTGGGAGGTCCCTTGTAAACGATACGGCTTACAGAAGGGGCCCATCGCTCAAATTCCAGGTTCCAGTTAGTCAATGTACTGAGAGGCACAATGACAAGGTAGGGTCCGGGCTGCTGTTTTCGTTCGATCAGGTAGGTGATCAAACTGATGGTTTGAATGGTCTTTCCAAGACCCATTTCATCTGCCAAAATACCGTTGAGGTTGTTGTTGTACAACGAAATCATCCATTGCAGACCCTTGACCTGATACTCCTTGAGCTTGCCGCCCACAAGGATATCGGCTTGTCCAGTAACCTCTTCGCGAATGCGATGGGCCACAGCATAGTAGTCAATCTTCTTGTTGCTCTCATCGTCCTCGTCATAGTCGCTGTTGTCTTCCATGGGAAGCTCATCTCCGTCGCCATATCGTTCAGCGGCCTGGCGCTGCTGTGCCTTGACGGATGAGGCGAGCTGATGCAAGAAACCATCAGTCTGCTTGAGCAAGTGTGTGATACGGGTATCTTTGGCCTGGTCAAGAAGCTTGAGGTATGCTTCTTCATCGTTGGCCTTAAGAGCTTGCAGACGTTGCTTGGCTGTTCGCTCAATGCGCTTCTGCTCCTCCTTCTCAATATTGAAGTGTTGCTGGTACATGAGACGAGAGAGCTTATGCGACTTGGTACGTTGAGAAGAAGCCGACTCCTGAATCTCTTGACGGTGGTTGTAGATGGCACGAAGGAAGTCGGTGTGTTTCTTCTTCTCGCGGTTCTCACGGGCATCACGTTGCTGCTTCTCAAGCTTCTCCGTGATGCGAGCTTCACGGACATTCTGCTTCTTCATGCGGCGATAGCTAGATCGGTTGGTCGTCATTGCGAGATTATCGTAATGCATCATTTGCCTTCCGATCTTGTCACGAAGCGCTCGCTGCTTGGCATACAAAGCAATGCTCTTCATCTCGATGATTGCTTTGCGCTTGAGAGAGTCGTCGGCCTCTTGACCGTCCTTCGAGGAATCCCAGTGGGCCAAATCACCGGGAAGGTTCTTCAACTCAGCATAGCGCTGCCTCATTCGGTTCGAGACAACGACTTCTCGCTCATATCGCAAGTGGTCGAAGTCAATGCCTGTAGGGAACACACCAGGAATGAACCAACGGTTCTTTCGCTGCGAGTGATCAAAATACTTGATTTCAGGCCGGATCATACTTGTGCCATATGGGGACTTGACCGTCTTGAATGTATGCGCCTTGGGGATTTCTGAGCTCTCATCTTCCGTTGCAGCCTCGGGCCCATTTTGGTGGTCCTTATTAGTTTCGGAATCGGCCTGGCCATGTTTTGAAGTTGGTGCTGCTTGTGCGGATTCAGCAATGGCTGCTTGCCTACGCTGGCGCTGGTTGAAGATCGCCTGCTGCAATTGTAATGATACGCCGGCATTCTTTCCAAGCAGCTTAAAGGCATGGATCTGCTGCCTCAAGAGGCCCAGTTGTTGTTGGGTGAAATGATTCGAAGACGAGCCGGTCGATGGAGACGTGCCAGCAGAAGCAGGAGTGGAGGAGGTTTGGTTCGGCATTGCGGATGCGTTGAGCGTGTTCGGGGCAGGTTGACTTGTCTGTGGTGAGCCTTGCGGAAGAGGTCGACCAGCCATCATCCCATTAGCAGACGCGCCGTTTGTCGCATTCTGCATCTGCTGTTTTTGTTGCTGCTGCATAAACTGCTGCTGAGTACGTCGCATATTATGCTGTTGTTGGAAGTTCATCAAAAACTGAGAGGCCTTGATGTATTCAGGATCGGTCGGGGACATTCCTTGCTCCTTCATAGCCTTCAATTTCTACATCATAGATCAGCACTGAGAAGCACAACAAGTCAGAAACCCCAGCAGGGTGATTAAGAAGGCCATACCCTAAAAACTTCTTCCGCCTGCTGCTTAGTCGCGCCAGCAGGCATTGGCGCGCCAGGATGCTGAACAGCGGGGGATGCATGCACCGATGCCATGGTGAATGATATCTGTGCCGCGAAGCCCTGTGACGGTTGAGTCGAATGATTAGATTGTGCAATTACAGCTACCTATATCGCATATCGTAGGGATGTAAACGATGGTGTCGCGCGTAGTATAGCGAGCTTGGATGTCGCGAAAGCGAAGATAGGGTGTAATAATAGAACAGGGGCGTGAACGAACGCGTCGAAGGCGAAGTTAAAAAATCAATGGATTGAAAAAGTTATAAGAAGCGTCGTCGAAAAGTAGGCGACACGTCGTGGATAGCGCGTGGGACAGGTTTGGTGTGGACCGCAACCTTTAAATTGGAAACGCGGCTAGATGGGTTGCTGGAGGCACGAGATGGACACTCCAAGTTGCAAAGAAAGGTTGAGCAGAAGGAAAAGTATGCGATGTGGCAGCACGGCGCGTTGAGAAACCGGTACCGAAGACCGGAGTTGTGTGCAAATCGCGTGCAACACGGATTTGGTGGTTTTTCGAGATGAGAGCCGATGGTTTGAAGGGGCCCTGGCGAATTTTTGGATGCGCGCGCTCGCCAGTTGATGATGGGGAGTGGTGAAGGCACAGCTGGACAAGATGCGGCGTGACGGTTGGTGCAGTTCTGAGTCGCTTGGTCACAGTATTTTTCAGCACGACCCCCCTGCAAGAGGCGACCGCGACCCAGTAGGCTACTAGTGCGCCTGAGGCAGCCATGAATTTAATATTAAGTAATCATTATCCGCGCTTCGGATTGGTCAACTAAAGCTACATGCACGTGATACCCTTGGGACGCCCCATGGCAGCTGTCAGAATAGGCGTTTTTGGAGTAGGACAATGCGAGGCCGAAATGGCAAAGAAACACCTGCGCTTGAACGGTGTTACTCGCTCCGGTCTAGAGGATCCGGAACTAGGCGTTGACAACGCCTCTGCGACCGGATATTGTGATGGAATGACAGAGATATAGCAGTGTTACACGAGTTAGGCATGCTCTTATGGAGTCATAGTCTGGCCCCGCGTCCAAGAAAATGTGTCGAATCCCATAGCTACCCATTGACCGTTAGTGCTCTCACCTCTTGAGCCTCTTCTTGTCAGGGCCGTCTTCCTCATCGCTGAGGTCCGCGTATTGGGTTTCGGGTTGATTTTGGGCCCAGGCTTTGGTAAACATCGGGTTACTCTGCGCCTTGTCTGCATACTTCAGCAAAGCTTCTCGAGGGTCCTCGTGCAGCATGCGCGCAAGAGGAATGTTCTCTGCGATAGCCTTCTCGTCCGGTGCGTTCTTTTCCATAGGGGTCTGCTGGGGGATGTGCGGGCGTCGAGGATCCTTCGATCGGCCAGATACAGTAACGCCAGATTTTCTCGAACCTGCTGTGGCGCCTGGTACCATAATAGCATCTCCAGATACACCGACCGACTGATCCATCGTTAACTCAGGGTTATCGTCGATGTGGCGTTTCTTTGGTGCTCGCGACATGACATCTACAGCTCCTTTGCTCGACATCTGTGGGTTGTACAAAACGTGAGTTTCGGCGTTAGCTGAACCTGTGATAATCTGATTAATCTTCGGGTGCCAATCAACTGTGATAAGCGGCGATCCAGGCGTTATTGGAGTAACATGTTCCGCGCGCAAATTGCCGGGGTTCAGGATATGAAGGTGGCCTGTAATGGAGCCTGTGATGATGCTGGTCGAGTTTGGCGCATATTTAATATTGCTTGTTGAGTAGTGGTCCGAAGTTGATGTATGAGATACAGTGACGAGAGGCTTGGTAAACTTGCGGGTGTCCCATAGTTTGATCAAATCGTCGCCTCCCCTGGTAACCACCATACGACCGTCGGATGATATATCGATACCGCTGGTCCAAGTCTGAGGCTTATGAGCATCGCGGATCTCTCCTGCAGGACGTGAGAAAGGACTGTTGCCGCTATACATAACCAGCGAGCCATCAAGAGCTGAAGCGACAAGCACGTTGCTACCTCCCTGGGCTGAAGATCCCCATGCGACTGCAGTCATCTTGGTGCGACCTGCGGACCCAGCAGCCTTGGATTTGAAAACAACAACATCCTTCTGCGATCGCTTGTTGTTGATGTCCCAGATTCTTAACGTGCTATCGGTACCGGCGGTAACGCATAGATTCTTGTCAGTGGGATGCCATGTTCCAGTTGTGATCTCGGAAATGTGGCCCTTGGTATTGTTCATATCACGAAGATACATGTCTCCCTTGACGAATTCTGTAACAATATCGCCATCCCGAGACAAGATCTTTGCTTGGGGGTGCGCTGAGACGCAGAGGAAAACTCCTCCAGCGTGTGGGTTGAATTCGATTCGATGGACGGGGTGCGATTCGGAGTTTGCAGAGGCCGCTTTTTGTTCATATGGGTCGACTGAGCGAAAGGCTCTCAAAGTAGTAGGAGTCATGGAGGCGAAATCGTGAAGTTTGACTGTGCAATCTGTGGAAGCAGTTGCTAAGCGCCCTCCTGCAGGGTCGAGCGAAACCGTAGTCACAGCGCGGTCGTGAGTTTTGAGAACAAGTTCGTGCGATACGGGAAATTCATCTTCGTCATCAGAATCGTCGCTGTCGTCGCTGTCGGAATCGTCGCTCGAATCGTTCTTCTTCCTGTGTTCCTGGGATTGTCCGCCACTGACTTCCGGGGCTTTGCTGGTCACTGTCCTGCGACTCCTGTCGATTTGGGCGGCGATATCGGCTTCTTTCGACTTCTTCCCAAAAGACGTAGGTAGGAATGCCCTCATAGGATCATCCGCCGCCAAGTCGGGCACCTCAATCTCGAAATCGTCGTCGGAACTCATGGCGAATTGCTCGGTTACTGGCCGTCAAAGTGCGCAGAAGAAAGGAGGAGGTTAGGTGGGGAGAAGAAGGGTGGAAAAGGTTTATCAATGAATGTGGCAGCAGACAGGCAGGAAGGGCAGGCATGCGGGCGGTCTGGTCTGGTCTGTTTGAGCAGCAGCTTGGCTTTGGGCGGCGCTGGTTGGGTTTGTCCACCGCCCCGGTTCTTTTATTATTAGCTCACGTTGAAGCAGTCGGCATCCGATTGAAACTTTTTTTACATATTGTATGTATTCAATCGATTTCAATTACACAAGATGGCAGAGTTCCCTGTCTATATGCTACAGATTGAGATTTGATGCAGCATAGCAAACACACGACATTGAACAATGTACCTACCCAGCTCAAGTTCTTAATGTCTCAAGTGCCATGGATCGTCAAATGTTGTCGTGAACTTGAACATCCTTTACACCGCCAGGTGGAGTTCGAAACATAGGTCAGACACAGTTTTCAGTGCAGCAACTCGTCTTTTGTTGATTTATTTCTGGTCAGATCACATCCGGTATCACAACTCCTCTTCTTTCGTTCACTATGAGCTGTTGCAGGTTGCACGATACGAATCATGACAAGTAACCCTGCTACACGCTACCAATACATTGACAACCAAGCCTCTGTAAATTATGAATAGATTGGGACATGCTTTCCTCAAAATGTGGTGAATTGAGTAGTACAAATTCACCACGTCAAGGGTCCTATGACAAGAACATGCCGCCGCCAGGCTGCCTCATTGCCTTCATAGATAAGTAGGCAGATAAATACCAGGTTAGTAACAGAAGAAATGTCCTGGAAGACTTAGACAGACTACCAAGATAAAGTAGCCTAAAAGTCCATCTCAGCTCGCATAAAGTGACCAAATTATTTCATCTCTTTTACTCTCGGCGGCCATTATTCTGACATCATGACAATAGGCAGGGACGTCGGTCTTCTACATAAGATATTCGACGACAGTCCTAAAGTGACTGAAAATAACAATTGAAGAGGCTTGAAATGCCTGGGTGAGGAAAGTATAGAGGTTCCAGATGGTATATTCTTTTTTTTGGAAGTCTCAAGTCTGTTAAATCAAATGTTTACCCCATGGTATCATGCCTCTTGCGCCGGTATAAAAAAGACTATAAAACTTTCCCAGCCAGTCTCGCCCGTCTCGAATCTTCCTCTCTCAATGCCTCGCTCTTCGCCAAAAAGTCTTCCCTGGCCATGTAAGAATCCTTTGATTTGCCAGCCAGCGCCAGCTCGTCCTTGATGCCCTCTTTGTCCACATAGCCAGCCCAGTCCATGCGACTCTTCTCGACGACGTTGAGCTTCTTGGCCTGCGCCTCCTTGCCAGCTTTGATTCGCGCCGCCATTCCAAGGTTTAGGTCGGACCGCTGGGGCATGAGATCCATCTGAGGCTCAAAAGCCGATCGGAAAGCTTTTCTTGTAGCACGTTTTTCGGGACTATTGGTTGGAATTTCCTGGCCTTGCGAAGCAAGATAAAGCTTTGCCTCGGCTGAGTCGCGCGCGACAAGCTTTTCCTCTGTATGGACTCGACCAGCGAAGTTGTATGTTCGCTTGATGCGTATCATCGCTGAAGGGCCTTCTGGATTGGCTGCGCCTTTTTCTTGTACAACTGCATCTCCATTCTTTTCTACGGAAGTGGTATCCGTTTCAGCATCATTGGGTTCGTCGACTTTGGTCTCTAGAGTTGGCTTGGCTATCATTTGTGCCCACAGCGCATCAACATCGATGGTGACCGGCTCGTTGTTCGTGGCATATTTGCGTTCCTCTTTCCTGCAGTTCATGTCAGAAATGCATTGAGTATCTCGTACAGGTATAACTTACTCTGCGGCACGCTGTCTCCGGGTCTTGATCAAACCACCCTCACCACCTTCATCGCCTTCTTGCACCCCTCTTGCTTCCGTCTTTTTACGACGCTTTTCGCCTCTTTTTATGATTGCTTCATCGCCCGAATTATCGTAGCCTGCATCAGCAGCATCCTCATTAGCTGTAGGGAGGGTCCTTTTGTTGGTAGCTCTGTCGCACGTATCCTTTTCATCCTCTACATCAGATTGATCGGAAGCCTGGTTGGGCGCATCATCTGGAGCAAAGTCAGAGTCCTCGGACGACGCATATTGCTCATCTTCGTCTAATAGCGGATCTGGTGACATTTTTGCGTTGTGAATGTTGGTAGTTCGCGCGGGCCTGGAAAACCAGTCGCGTAACTACAAACTTAACGATCCAGTCTTGGTATCTGTCGCTGATGGGAAAGCGGGCCAAGGTGAGTGGCCAATCACCTACTTACACTCAGCTGTAAGACAGCAAAGTACGCACGACTAGATACAAATAAATACCTGATGAAAGGAAAAATGATCGATTATAGATAGCAGAAATGATCTTCGAGGTGAGATTGCAGGACCCCTGAAATGTATTTGCGACACATGACTTGACGAGTATGATCACCACTGGATACATACTCCCAAGGTAGGTAGGTACTAGATATATGATATAAGTCCCATGGTGGGGCAGCCTTGTAGGAAAATGCGAGGCTGAAAACTATAGCCAGAAATTTTCCATTCAACATAACCATCCAACCCTTCGTCTCAACAACGCACTCAAACATAAAAGTCGCTCGCTATGGCTGTTCTAGGCAAGCGAAAGGCTGATCCTGAGCCTGAAATCTCGCAAGAAGATGCGGCTGCCATTTTCCGCCGACATTTCGAGGCGCAATTCGCACCACTACCCGATGCAAAAGAGCCCAAGCCCAGTTCAAAAAAGACGAAACGTGACGAAGAAAGCGACGACGATGATGATAGCGAAGCAAGCGACGACAGCAACGATGAAGAGGAAGATAGCGAGAACGAAAATGAATGGGGCGGTCTATCGGGCGACGATTCAGACGAAGAGGAAGAGGAAGAGGAAGAGGAAGAGCAACCTCCAGTGGTAGAAGTGGTAGACCATTCTGGAAAGCAACCAGCAATGACTGCCACAATGTCCAAACGAGAATTGAAGGCTTTTATGGTAAAATCGCGCCCTTCGAGGAGGTACGAGCTATTGAACTAACATGCAAAATCAGTCTTCACGCCCTCCAGACCAAACATTCACCAAATCCGAATCGACACCTACAGCTACTTCATCCTCCTCAAACGAACTTCCAGAAGACGCGCCCTCTCTCCTAGCCCAGGATCTTGAACTCCGTCGACTTATCGCAGAATCACACCTCCTCGCCCCTAGTATGTCATCTTCTGGTGCAGCTATTGAGCCAAAAGCCTTCGCCGCTGGCCGTACTCGTCAAAAGGCCACAGACATGCGCATTCAAGCCCTGGGATCCAAGGTTTCCATTCACAAACAGGAGAAGATGCCAATGAACATGCGCAAAGGCATTGTGGCTGCGGCAGAAGCACGCGAGACGAAACGTCGAAGAGAGGCTAAGGAGAACGGTATTATCCTGGAGCGAGAAACGGGGAAAAAGAAGGGAGGCAAAGGCCGGAACCGAGACCTGCCAGTCGATCGACCGGGAGTTGGCAGGCTCAGAGGAGCTGAATTACGTTTGAGCGATAGGGACATCAAGAGCATAGAGGGAGGAAGAGATGCGTTTGGCAGAAAAGGAAGGCGATGAGACCACTAATTTGTACGAATCAGGTTCATCAACACGAGATACCAGGTCACAGGAGCAGTTGATTTAAATGTAAACATTTGTATTTCACCAAGCACTGGACCAATTTTGATCACTAGCATTGGCCTCCACACAGGATATCTAAATACTCTAACAATCATCAAAGAAGCAACTATGATATATATAGAAGCGGACTTTGACACACCTCGACGCATGGACGTCTTCATGATGCTCACAGCTTTTCATCAGGAGCTTCTCCTACGCTATCACAGCGTAGGTCTATCAAAGCCATATTTTGGACCACCAATGAGCGCTTCCAACCAAAAAAAAAAAAAAAATGTAATAAAATATGAACATAGGAAAAATCAAGCAGAGAGCACGCAAATACCGTTGCAGATTGCCACCGAAATTCAAGCCATAAATCCCTTGTAGTCATGATTTGTGCAAATAAAATGACAAAGTCGTACATAATTGGGCCGTTACATCATGCCGCTAGCGTTGATAGCAGCTGGTTGGCTCATTGTCATGGGCATGCTGAGGGTTTCGAGACTGTTGAACGTTTGTGTGGGTGCGTTGCTTGATGGAGGAGTCGAGCCATGAGCGGCAGCGTTCAGGGAGCCTGTCACATATGCATTTTCAGAGTGAGGGGAGGCCTCTTCGAGTGAGCCAAGATGGTCATCACCGGAGAAGTCCTCCTCCTCATCGCCAGAGAGATGCAGTGAGCCATCTCCACCGTCTTCACGACCGTGTGTGCGCTTGTGTCTAGGTATATGGTTAGCGAGTGCCAGTGGAAAGGTTGTAGGACAAAACATACTGTGCCAAATTGTCAGATCTTGAGAAAGCCTTGCTGCAGTGAGGGCAGACATAGGGTCTCTCTTGTGTGTGCGTTCGAACGTGTCTAAAAATCAGATTAGTGACTAGCTGCCAGCCGCGAACGGAGAATGCTTACCGCTTGAGATGCTCCAAACGCTTGAAGAGACGGCCACATGTGGGAATGGGGCATGAGTGGGACTTCTGAGGGTAAGGGCCAACTTCCATAACAGTGGCTGAGCGAGCACGTCGGACAGCACCGTTGGGAGCAGGCACAGATCGTCGCTGATCGTTCATGGAGCCCTCGCCGGTATATTCCTCACTAGCGAGGTGAGGGAAGTCTTGGTGAATGCCCATGGAATGGGGTGCAGGGCTTCCTTCAACAGCGGACAAGGGAGTTCCATGTCTAGACATGTTCTGGTGGTGCTGGCTGTTCACAGACACACCAGAAGTGCTGTAAGACAAACCAGGAGGGGAGTTGTTTGCGGACTCATCACCCTCGGCAACAGGACCAACAGAAGCAGAGACAGATCGTCGCAAGTCAGAAGGTCGACGGACATGTGAGTGTGCTGGGTGTGAGGGTGCAGCAGGAGCCGCAATCGCCGACATAGATGGGGGGATGGATGAACGCCGTCTTCTCTGCTTATATGTCGGCGAACCTTCGATTACAGAGTAGACGTTGTTTGTACCATAGGGACGAGAGAATTGAGGGCCAGCCAAGTTAGAGGGGGGGAGCTGGACCATGCCGTTAAGGCCATTCATGCTAGCCATATGATCGGGGATAGCGGAGTACAAGCCAGTCTCCTCGTTGGCGATGTACGCGGGCTCAGCAGAGATACCCAAGGCCTGCTGGGGAGGTGTGATGGGTTCGAATGAGATTCCTCTGTTGCTGTAGTCCTCGTACTGGGAGGAGACGAATGAAGGAGCGGGCGAGTACTCGAGAGCATATGCGGGCATAGAAGCATGGCGCTGGTGGCCGGTCGTGATAGGAACACCGTTCTGGTTGTATTGAACACGGGTGAAATCAGGCTCCCTCTTCACGGGCACGGCTTGGTGCATGTGGTGAGGCACCGCCATCGTTCCATAAGGTACCATTGCGTCCATCCCCTCCGCCAAAGGGGGCATGGACTGAGGCATCATTGTCGGGGGAGGAGGCATCGAGTCCATAGCTCGCATGACTGGAGATGTGGACTGGCTCTGAGAGAAGGCGGATTGCTGGGCGCTGAAAGACGAAGAATTGGCTTGTTGGGCCTTTGTCAGTTGCTCGTAGAGCGACTGAGATGAGTCGTACTGGAAAGACAGCGCGGGTTCGCTGACAGCAACGGTGGTAGCTTCCTGGCCCATCTTCTCCCTCTTGAGATCGCGTTCCAGCGCGTCAAGGAACAGACGGTCATGGGGGACACTGTACCAGTAAAAGACCTTTTGCTTCTTCTGAGTTCGAATGCAGTTGTTCTTGTAGAGGAAATCAAGGAAGGCGCTCTTGGGCTCCTCCAGAGAAGCATCAGTTCCAGACTTGAGGTTTCGCAAGTCAGAAAAGATACCTTCCTCGAACTTCTTGGAGTTCTTGACAGGTCGGCCAAAGGCCTGGAAACGGAAGGACAGGCATCTCACAATGTCTGTGCCAGAAATGTGGAAAAGGTTGTTCCAGAGAATGCATGAGACGTATTCACCAGTTGGTAGCAGAAATCGGCGAATGTACTGATCAGGTTGCCAGTCGACAGGGGCGGAGATGAGGAAGTACTTCAAGTTGTCGACTTGCTGAAGAGCGACTTGGGCATCATGAGGCAGAGCTTGCTGGGCCTCAGTGCTCAACATGAAAGTTTCGGGCTTCTGAGGCGCCATTGCGGAGTGTTGTGAGTACATCTTGGCGTGTTATGAAATCCGTGACGTGACCGCGTTTGGTCAGTCGAAATGATGGCGCTCGGCGGCCGTGAGTGGTTGTTGCGGCGAACCGAAGAGTCGATTGAGTCAGTTGAGGCAACTGATGTTGATTGAATGAAATGGTCGAGGCGCAGCCCAGATCCGAATGGAATAAAGATGATTGGAATGATGCTTATTGACCAAAATTCGAGACCAGCCCGGAATAATGGAATCGCTGTGCAATGCGATTCGAAACTCAGCAACCGCGTCAAGCGAATGTAGCTGAGGCGTCCAGAGTAGCAACCGTCAAGGCGTTGGCGATGGTGGGGGATCGAAGGCGAGTTTCGCGAAACAGCAATCGAGCCAGATTAAAGCTATAAGCAAAGTGTAGAAAGCAAGAAGTGAAAACAGATCAACAGAGCCGAGAAGCAATGTTCATCAAGAGCGGGCAGCGGCTTCGTGAGTGAAAACGAAGGAAGGAAGCAGCGCGCGTTGAAGATGAACGTGAGACGTCGGGGGGTGCAGACGACTTCTATTGAAATGGGAAGAGAAACGACTTTGAGGGCGACTCCGGGATGGGTCCGTGGAGTGTGGAGTGAGGGAGGAGGGGGGAGGTAGGGAGAGTAGAGTGAAGGGAAAACAAAACGACGAGAGGAAAAGATTTCAGAAGGGAAATCTGAGCGGGTGGGCGAGCGAGGATATACGGGGGTTTAATGAGATGCTGGTGTGGAAAGATAGTACGCAGGTCGCGCCGACAGAGAGACGGGCAAGAACAAGGTCAGGCAACGCAAGTGAGTGAGTGAGTAAAGAGACAGAAGGAGGACCCCGGTCATGCCTTGTCCTAGGTTCCTACCCATCCATGAAAAGGAAGAGACAAGGAAGGTAACCTAAGGGCAAGTACCTGGCATGGATGGTAGGTGCAGGCCTATGAAGATGGAGATGGTGGGTTCCAATTAGGTTGGGATTGGACTTCTAGAGCACGCGCCAACGACCAGCCTGAGAAAAGCGAACGACGACGTTGCGAGGGCGGGAGAGCAGCCACATACCACGCACGGTGTCTTTTGAGAGGACCCAGGTGGGATGGAGGGTGGAGGATGCACTTGCTCTCGCTCGTCAGCAACGGGAGTAGTGGGCCTACCAGTCAGAGAATATCCCATCGTACCAATCAGAGACATTTGGTGGGGGTCTACTTGTTTTCTAGACTTGGGAAGGCACAGTGTGTCTGACTCTCTCTTAGACTCTTTTCTTTCCCCGGCTGTCATGCAAATAACAACCGGCAAGCCATGGATCATCGTTGATAGTCGTTTGCTCCATGTCGTTATTCCGATTCTTATAGATTCTTTCCAATTGCACACCTCGGCCCAGATCCTCTACTCTAGCAATCGCCTTAAAACGTTTATTCTTTACTCTATCCAGGGCTGCAGCGCCCCTGTTTACTCAAACAAAGGGCCACTTTACTCTGGCCAGGGAGGGCATGAAGCATCAAAATGGTATGGTGCACCTCAGGGTGTCAGAAGAAATGGCCCTAGAGGTATGAGAGACGAAATAATTTGGTCACTTTATGCTAAGTTAGACTAGCAGTTAGGCTACTTTATTATAGAAGCCTAAGCCTTAGAGGATAATTCTTCTGTTACCCACCTTGCAGTACAGTGCCACACCTTACAATATCGACCGTCCACAACGCAAAGCCAGAAGAAGACAAATCTCATCTCGCGCGTTGACTCTATCGGTCACGACTTGCGCACATCAAAGTGCAGCGAACATCTCATGTCAAAAAGTGGGCTTGTGCTAGTTGTTAGTGTCCAAGCCAATTTTGCTTTGATATCACCGGCACGTTGGGGCACGGAAGGCGTCCAGAAGTTCAGTCTGAGTGGCTTTGGCTCAACGAACTCTCGCTCATGACCGAGCGTAATCGGCGGGTGTTCACTCACTCTCCATTAAGAGAAACGATGTCAATTCTCTGACGCCGGCAGCTGTCAGTGAGCGCGAGCAACTGTACATATGTGGATATCGACAATGCCTAACCAGTACCTTCTCTATTGGTTCCCTTGTTTACTACAGGACTGTCTGTACTACTACGACATCGACAGGCTGGTTCCACGCCCCTGCTTCAAACAAACCACGCTCCCTTCCGCGTCGGACGAGATGGACTGAATAGGGTCGAGGCCGAAAAGATCGACAAGGGTCGCGGAAACAAATCCAGAAGAGTTACATTTGCGGCTAAGCAACGTGGGTAACGGTCCTCATTCTTGTCTTTGATTACTGTCTCTCAGCCATTATTTGCAGAGAGACAATGGCTTGGAGAACGTACAAAACCTGAAACATAAAACACAGGTTGCTCATAGACTGGCCGCGTCGTGCCGCATGTCTCAGCCTAACAATTGGGTCTCAAAGGCTTGGAGAAGCCTAGTTCAAAAGATTCTGAGCCAATCTCCCGGCCGCAAAAGCATTGAGCCCACCACTAGCTCTGTGAGATTCGATCAATGGACATATCAGATATGACGGGCGGAACCAAGGGTTACCTTTACTCTGGCGAACCATTAACCTCAGGGTGTCAGAAGAATTGGCCTCTGGAGGCATAAGAGACGAAACAATTTGGTCACTTTATGCTGGCTTAGACTAGCACTTGGGTTACTTTATTATGGTAACCTAAGCCTGAGAGGATAATTCTTCTGCTACGTACCTAAATAGGTACATTCTACTCGATAGGTGGTGTTGCTTCACATTCTCGCATGTACCGCAACGCTGGAGGAGTGGGTTTTGCCAGAGATTGGCAACTATTGCTAGTCAGAATAGGTCGAGCCATGAGATGTTAGCGGCATTCTCGGCCGACCGTCTTCGATTATTATTTTTCTCTATGCAGCTTGAGAGACAGGGTTTCTCGCAGATACCAACAAGATATTGTGGCTTGTGCCAGTGCGAGAGTCGTAATCTCTTCGCAATTCCATGACCCATTGTCGGAGATAACTCTTATACTATGCGTTATAGTTTGCGGCCACGATCCATGGGTTGTTTAAGTCTTGTTTTAACGACTACGATGTTTGATATCGCCAGGCAACTAATTCGATGCCGAAGCTGTCTGGTTACAACAATACAACACGAGCGAACAGTTTAAATTACAGCAAGAATCAAAGCAATAACAGACAAACTATAAGGCTGTTTCCCGGTTGTCGAAAAGGGGTCGGCGACGATGTTTCCAAGCCATATGCGGGAGTTTGATTACCACCTGGCATAGCACGAAAAATCAGCTGAAGCGAGATAAAGGGTCCGTTCACCCTTCTAATCCTTCGGAACGAGCACAGCTGAGATTCGTCCCTACCGTCAACGAAGACGGCTCTGTCAGTAAATACTGATACGAACGGCAGATCATTGACGGTGGCATGCACGACATGGACTCATTATTCAAGCTTACATGAATTAACAAAACTTTATCCATCTAATGTGGAGAAACAACACGGTACACTGTACACCACGTACCACAAAGTGTCGAGTGCAGTAGCCGGAATGTCTTGACTCTCGCCCTTTCTTCCAGCCAGGACTTGGATGGTTTTTGGATCAATTTTAAAAGCATCAGTGCTACCAGACCAAGACACTGCCTATTTTCAACATCGATGGGCTTCATTTCTGACGGCAAGCCACCAGTCTATCGAAACTGGGATTGCAGCTAGCAGCAGCATCCTAGAGCCGACCAGCGGGGAGATGCGCCCATGGACAGATCAGGGCAGTCCCGATAAAAAATCCCCATGACTCTCGACGATCGCTCAGAAATTGATTTCCGCTCTAGCCACTTTGCGCCATCTTCTGTAAGCCTACGAACTCTGATCACTGTTTTTAGGCCTTAGCCAACAATGCCGGTGGGTTCCGCAGGTCAATTCTGCAGACTAATGCAAAGCAAGGATATTTTTTTCAACTAAAGAGGGTCACTTGTCCAACATATCCCTACCAGGTCTGCGTCAGGGCAGCGTTTTCGTCAATGTGAAACGTGCCTGCAGGACTGCATCAGACACCACATCCTCGTCTCAAGGCTTATGCACCAATGATGCCAGATGTCTGAAACCGTCACACCCCTTCATCAATGGTTCTCAGTTGTTTGATATCCCAGATTATCGATCAAGAGGGAGGCTGGGCCGCTGGCTCACTTTGTTTTATCGACACGATCGAATCAATCAATAACATCATGGGTTTTCATGGCTTTCGATTGGCCGTTACCAGTTGGGGCCCATCTCCTCCGATTGTGGACCACAAGTTTCCAAGGCTCACGCCGCCCCGAATTCTATGCTGGCATGCAAGCCAACATCACCTGGAATCGACCTTCTTGAACGAGCCTGGCTAGTTCTAATCTTCGAAACCCCAAAAAGACGTTGCTTCGCCGAGAAACGATAGAAGTGCATATACGTACATGATACTGTGTGGCTTCCTTGTCCTTAACTGGGATGATAATACGTACGTACTAATCTGTACCTGCATCCTCATGATCACTCATATATCCATATGAGCAAGAGACGAGGCTTCACTCTCCTCCACCGCGGCTCCGTCAAATCCTGGATACAACCAGCGCCATGTAACAATAAGCAACAGGCACCGTTCTCAGACTGGCCAATCATGCCATATTTGGATTATTGAAATATACGATGTATGGGTTTGACTCCAACGGTCTTTGCAAGCTGCAGCATTTACGAGTTTACATCATTGAGTTCTCAAATCAACATGTTTATGACTGGTCATCCCTTGCTCGGCAGCAACAAACAAAGACTCGCATTTACGAGATCACTCAACTCATCGCAAGTTTGGAACGCAGCAGGGTCGCATTGACTCTGATGGACTGCGTTACCCCTGGATAATTTTAAAATTGCAGTCGCGCATCCCACTGCACGTGAGAGGACTCTTTCGCGCCGCTGCGGGCCGTAACAAGTCTTGAATGCCATGGGCCCTGGCTATCTCTGCAGACTGGATTGGACACTGATTTGTTATTGTTCTAGGTAACACGAGTCGTTGATGCCCTG